GGAGGCTGCCGGCCCCACAGCACGGTGTGGCCTTGTCCCCCCATCCAGGACCTACTGCCTGAGTCCCCCTTCCCCAGCCAGCACTCCACAGCCCGGGGCCACCATCCTGCACCCCCTCCCCAGCCCCACGACCCCCTTGTCACCCCAAGCTGCACCTACACCATCACCACCGTCCTAGCCCTGAGACCCTCGCCCATGGGGGGGGGTCTCAGGGAGCCGGGGGGCACTCAGCCCCCACTCACCCGCCCCGGATGTAGTCAACGAAGGTGAACTCAGACTCAACAGAGAAGGAGAGCAGCGTCACCTGCGGGAATGGGGGGGTCAGACCTGAACCCCTGCCCTCAGCACACACAATTTGGGAGGGCAGACCCAGCCCCACTCACGGTGCCGGAGTTCACGTATTTCTTCTTCTTGCACTTCTTCCTGGGGTTCAGCACCTATGGGAGCAGAACTGGGTCAGCCCCGGCATGTGTGGGGTGCCCCCATAGCCCCCCCACTTTGCCCCTGCCCTACCTCGTACACTGTGAACTGGCTCTGTGCTCGGGACAGCTCCCGGTAGCTGGTGGCAAACTCCCCAATGAAGTCATGGCTGCGGGAGGAGCGCGGGGTCAGCGTGGCCAGGCACCCCGGTGAGGGGCACCCCATGTGCCCCCCCCAGCCCACGGGCACGGCCTCACCTCCCGTCCCGGTCCCAGTCGTACACATCAATCTTCACCGTCCTGAAAGCGAAGGTGGGCAGTGGGTGAGCTGCCAGCATGGCTGGCACAGCCCCCGCCTTGACCCCCCCACGGGGTATGGGGACAGCCAGCCCCACGGCCAGCACCCTGCCTGTAGGCAGGCAGAGCAGCTCTGCTGGGAGGGAAGAGGGAAATTTGGGTCATGGCGGGGGCCCTGGAAAGGAGGGGGATGCCTTTATGTAATTTGGGTTGCAAAAGAGGAGAAAATAAACCCAATAAGGACCCAATTCTGAGCTGCCTGTCGCTGAGGAGAGATGCTCACACCTTAAGAGATGCTCACATCCTGAGATGCTCACACCCTAAGAGATGCTCACACCTTAAAGAAGCTTACACCCCGAGAGAAGCTCATACCCTTAAAGATGCTCATGCCCTACGAGACGCTCATACCCTAAGAGATGCTCAGACTCTGCTATGTCCCTATCCCCATCCCCATACCGGTCATAGTCGCCGTTGCAGAGGGCACGCACGGGGATGGTGAAGGGCTGCCACACCGGGTTGAGCGTGTTCTTCACCACCTCTGTCTTATGGCAGATGGTGAAGCTGCGGGGACAGGGCAGGGTTGGGGCGTGCTGCAGGGTAAGGGTAAGGCCGGCACCGCATCCAGCCCGCCGTGCCCCGGCGCTCACGTGCCGTCCTCGTTGCTGCGGTAGAAGACGAGGAAGGGGTCGGATTTCCCAAAGAAGTCCTTCTTGTCCAGCTTGTTGGCGCACAGCTGCATGGTGACGATGTCCTGGGGACAGGGACATCGCTGCTGGATGCCTCCTGCACCAACAGCCACACAGACCAGGGAGCCACACAGCCCCTGCCTTGCCGGTACCGGGACATCAGCACTCACCCGGCAGTTGCTCAGCTCCTCGGCCAGCAGCAGGATGGTCCCACACCGCTTCCCTGGGACACCCCTGGGACCAGAGGAACCTGTTTGGCTTGGGGATAAGGAGGATGGGACGGGCAGGAGGTGGGGATGGGGATCAAGGCCCTTGGCAGCGTGTCCGGTGTCCCCAGGAGGGGACAGGCAGAGAGGTCTGATGGGAGGGGTGGCTGGGACATGGTGTGGGACCCCCCATTGCCCCACCACAGGGTGACTCACGTGAGGGCTCTCTCCAGGCGGCCCCGCTGGGACCCGATCACCTCTCCCAGTGCCACAAATGCCTGTCCCAGGAAGTCCTGTGCCCAAACACAGCACCGTGAGACACTGGGGCTCCTGCCGTGCTCGCCACAATCACACCCCACCACCCAGGGACCTGCCATCACCTTGCTTTGGGGACATGCAGTGTCCTGAACACACCTTGTGCCCCAAGAGCCAGCCCTGGACCCATCCAGCCCTCCCAGGTGTTCCCTCTTTGTGCCCCAAACTGATCCTGTGCCCCCACCAAACCACCCCACATGCCCTGGACCCATCTCTCCAGCACCACCCCATATTCCCCAAACCCATCCTGCACCCCTTGAGCCACCCTACACCCACCCTGTACCCCCATGGTGTGTCCTATCCCCATCCTGCACCCTGCCCCACCAGGCACCCCCATGAGGACCATGCTCCCGGGGCAGAGCAGAGGCTGGTGCATGGTGAGCACCTACCTTCTGCCAGTCCCCATGGGGCATAGAGAGATGGAGAAGCAGGTTAGAGCCCTCTGAGGGGCATTCCCCTGACAGCAGCCACATAGGGCACAGCCTGGGGGTGCCCCACCACGGTGTCACCCCAGGGTGTCACTGCACACCCTGTGCTCACCTGCTTTAAGATGGAGCAGCTCTTGGAGTCCACGTTGTAGCTAGTGATGGGAGAGCAGAGCCTTGAGCCGGTGCCTGAGGGGTACCCTGACACGCAGCCCTGCTTCCCACCCATCCAGGCTTTTCCCTGCCACATCCTTATTATCCTGTGCCTTATTATCCTATTATCGGTGCCTTGTTCCACCCCGAGGGGAGCCGCTCTTACTCACACATCGAAGCGGAGGTTTTGCTTCTCCTCAAAGTAGTAGTCGAGGACGAACTTGCGCACGAAGTCAGGGTTCAGGGTGTTGTCAATCACCTCGGTGCGCCCAAACTGCGGGGAGAGGGTTGAGAGCAGATCCCCCGGGAGCCCTCCCCATCGCTGCTGCCCCAGCAATAATCCTGGTGTGGGATTAGTGCTGCCGGCACAGCCGCATCATTATCATGGACACGGAGGGATCACTAGCAGGGATGCGGGGGCCATATGGGCCTGTTTAGCCCAGGCGGGGATTAGCCAGGAGCAGGGACACTGGTGGTGGCACGGGCTGGGAGCCACCCAGGCACACGGTGACAGGGTCTGTGCTCACCTCCTTCCACTCGCTGCTGCCTGAGCCCTGCACGAAGAGGACCACCACTGCGGAGAGAGGAGTAGAGCCGTGCCATTGTGCTGTGCCGTGCTGCGCTGTGCCAGTCCATACCCTTCCTGTCCCTGCCACCCACCTGGGTCAGACTTGGAGAAGGTGTCCATGTCCAGCAGGTTCCTGGAGGGAAAGAGCCACGCATGAGCCACCATAAATGCCACCACCCAGCCCCACAGCAGCTCCCCCTGCCCTCCCCATTGACCACGGGATAGCACCACACCAGAAGGCCACACTGGCACCCTGGGGGGACACACTGGTTCCCACTGCAGGGTTTGGTGGGGCAGCAGCACGAGTGAGGAGCAGTGTCCCCAGCGCTGATGATGATTGAACATGACAGAGAACCCATTTAGAAGATGAAACCTTCCCCTGTGCCGCCGGCGCCGGCGGAGTGCCCACTGTGGCTAATGGCAGGGCGCAAGACTGGGAAGAAAGGAGACACTTGGAGCAGGGGCTGGGCAGCTCCGAGCCCTCCACGGCTGCCGGCAGAGCCATTGATCACTGTCCTTCGCACAGTGTGACACTGGAAAGTGCCAGTGGCTGCAAGTGCCTGTGAGCGGCTCCGCTGGGATCCTTCCTGCGCACAGGGTGGGCTGGAGCATGGCTGGGGGCTCAGCCATGGCACACAGGGCATAGACCCCCCTAGGCTGCCCCAGCAGCCCTGAGCCCTTGTCTGGCTGTGAAGCTGAATCCTGCCCATGCTTCGGGGCATCTGCAGGAGTGAATCCTGGCTTCTGTCTGGAGTTGCCAGGCCCCACGGACACGCAGCCCCACTGCCCAAAGGGGCTGGCAGGGGCAGACTGGAGTTTGCAGGGCTTGGGGCTTTATGGGGCAGCCACCAGCATTTCCTGACTCCCTGCACGGTGAGGCTGGTGCTGGTCCCCGCGGGCAAGACCCCTGGCTGCGGGCAGCGAGGGCAGCGGTACCTTGCCGGGGCTATATTTAGCCACTGACACTGCTCAGCAGCCACTGCTTCCCCCATGGACCCACCAGAGCACCGAGCAGCACCTCTCCTATAGCCCCCGTCCCACCACCTTCCAGCGCTGCCCCACTGCTGGCCCCGGTGCCTCGCACGGAGCTGGCAGAACGGGCAGAGCCGGGGAGCTGCCCGTAGCCAACGCCGACCCCCTGCGAGCACCGCGCTGAGCGGGGCCACCGCAAACCCCAGCCCCGGTACGAGCAGCGGGTCCCGTCGAGCAGCAGAGACCGGTGCCGCATCCCACGGGACCCCGCTGCGCGCACGGGACCTCTCCCCACGGGCAAAACCCGAGTGTTCAGCGGTGCCCACGGAGCGAGGCGGACCCGAAGCCCACCCCTTCCATCTCCTGACACCGGGGAGCAGCGGGATGCTGCGGGACAGGGGCACCCCGCAGCGCATCCCCATGCGCAGACACCAGCCCCCCGCCCGGTGCCCCGGCCCGCCCGGCTCCCGGCTCACCGGCAGGACACGGTGAGCTCCACCTTGGTACCCGGCACGCTGCCGGTCGCCGGTTCCAGCGCTCCCGGAGACGCCATCCCCGCCCGGGCGCCGCCGCTGCTCCGCGCCGCCTCCTCCCGCGCCGCCGAGGCGGGCGCGCCCGGGGGCGGGCACGGCACGGCACGGCACGGCACGGCACAGAGCCCCGGCCCCGCCGGCAGCACCGCCCCGGGGACCGGCAGCCGCGGCCGGCCCGACCCTCTACGGCTCAGCCCCAGCGGGACCTCCAGGCCGGGGCTGCGGACCCAGCTCCGCTCCCCAGCCCGGTCCAGCGCCGGTTCATCCCCCCCTCCCCGCCCTCCTCCCCATCCCATCCCATCCCCGCCCCTCCCGGGGCTCCCTCCCGGTCCCGGCTCGGTGCTATTTCGGTGCCGCGGCTCCCGGAGCGTGGGCCGGGCTATTAATAGCGAGCTCCCGCCGCCCGAACCCAGACAGGAGGCAGGAGAGGGCACAGCTCGGGGGGTTTACTGGGGGGATTTACAGCAGAGATGGGCCGGATTCCCCCCCGAGCCCCCAGCCCCAGGCAGGGGGAAGCCGGTGGTGGGTGCTGCAGGTGCCCGCACCAAGAAGGGGGGTGCCGGGGCTTGGCCAAGGACGGGTCCCGCCAGCCCCGGTTGTCCAGGCACTGGTTCCTGTCCTCAGAGCGTGCTGCTGCCTCTCAGTCCAACACCTCTCACGAACTGCTCGAGAAGGCCCCCGATGGCCCCCGAGGGGCTGGGGGGCACGGCCTTGAGGCCGATGGTGCGACTGTAGCTGGCCAGGAAGGAGGAACGCACTTCTTCCAGCCGGGACTCGCGGTCGCTCGCCGACACGAGCCTAGGAGAGAGAAGGGGGAGGTCAGCAAGGCCAGCATCCCTCTCCCCATCCCAGCTCTCACTCCCAGTGTGGGGCAGGAGGCTGGCAGCAGGGCCGGGGCTCTGTCCACAGCATCAGCAGGGCTGTGGTGCTCCGCTGCTAATGGTGGCCAAGGCAGCACCAGCTCCAAAAGGCTCCACTAACTAGAGCAGTTGCCTTCATGACTTATCCAACAAAACCCAATGCTCTACCATGGAGCCTCTCAGTCCCAAGCTCTTGCTCTCCCCTTGGTCTACTCCTTCACCACCCCCCCCCCAGTTTCTCCCATCACCCCCACAGTGCTTCGAGGCCATGGTTGATACAGAAAGTGCTGTCTTCCCCACACTGATGTCAGCCCCTGCGCCAGCTCCCTCCCCTCCTCACTCAACACTGCCAGGTGGAGCCTGGCCACATGTGCTATGTCCGGACAATCACTTCCAACCTATTTGTGGCCATCCCTCACGTCCACTGGCCCCAGCACAGCCAGCAGTGGGGAAGGGGTGATGAGAGGAGGCAGAGAAGGTGACAAAAGCCCCAAGGAGGGCTCCAGCTGTTGAAAGAGGAGAGCTGAGCGGTGTTTCACATCTGCTCTCTGCAAACAGGAGGGCTGTGTGCAGAGTAGGGCACGGCTTCCCCCAGGACCTGCTCTCCTCTCCAGCTCATCCATGCATCTGCCTGTGGGCAGGGGGATGAGAGCAGAGGAAAAGAGATTATTTCAGCCAAGGGAGCAGGCAAAAAGCAAGACCAGGGTTCAGAGGCGGCTGTTCCAAACACTCCGGTCCTTGCTGCAGCGATGTACCGGTGGTTCCCAGGGAGAACAAGCCATTCCTCAAAGGTCACTCCAAGGGCACAGCGCGAACCTTCCCCATCAAATATTCTCTTTAATCTCTCCAGCGCCTGGGCTGGCTATAAATTGGCACAGCTCATTTGAATGGAAGTGTTAACCACCCACAGCCAACAGCTTCGGTCCGGAAACAGCAGCAAGAGGATCTGGTGGGAGGGCTATAAACAGCAAGCGGTGCCGAGGCAGCCAACCAGGCCGCTGTTTACAGTGTCTGATAATAAAGAGAAGACAGAGGGCAAAGGGAAAAAAAAAAATAGAGGCAACACATCTAAACACATTAAAAAGATGCTTTTTTGGCAACCTAATTAGGACGTGGAACTCACAAACCTGCCAGCAGTAAAAATAAGCTGCAGGGAAGCAGGACTTGTTTGTATCCGAGTGCAGTGATCTTAAATGTCACAGGCAGAGGTAAGCGAGGGCGTGCAGCCGCTGGGTCCCGTGGTTTCTGGCTCTCGCACCTCTTTCCAGGGCAGGTTTAGTATTTAGGTTTTTAGGTTTCTTTCCTAGAGTGAGACACTCTGAGGTCAAGGAGCCTGGCACTGCCTGCCACCAAGCCCTGCAGGCTGGGTGCATTGGGCTTGGAGCAGTTCAACCAGGGAGGCAGGTCCCGCTTCCCTGCCAAACTCTGCCCTGCTACACTTCCTACCCGCTCGTCTGCAGCTTGGGGTGCAGGATGAGAGGAGGCTGTCAAAGCCCCAGCACAAAGTAAGCCCTGACAAGCCCCACACAAGCACAAGAAGTAGGCTGTGACAAGCGTACCTTCGTGGAGCTGCTGCCAGCTGAGATGTAAAGTGGGAACTTAAATGGAATTTAATTTTCCAAAACCCTCATACTGTGCTGGGCTGTGAAAAACTGGGATAAAGCCTGGAGCCACAATGGGCTCCTGAGCAAACAGAGCTGATGCAGAGCTGAGAGAGAGGAGGCCCTGGGTTAAGCTCAGCACAACGCCCCTGGGAACATCCCATCCCTTCCACACAGCGCCTGGTCCAGCACCCACTGAGTGGTGCCCACAGCACCCCACAGCTCTAGTGAGGAGCTGAACAGGGCAGAGCACTTGCAGCACTGCTGCTTTTCCCCTCCCTTTGAAGCTGGCTGTCCCAAGCACCACATGTGCCCCTGGTCTCAGCACAGGCAGATTCAGAGCTCAACTTCCATTCGTGTTTCTCTACCCAATTCCCTATTCTGACGTTAGATCCAGCTCCAAGAGCAGCAACAACTCACTGGTGATCAGCAGCCACTGAGCACTGCCAGAACCAGGACACAGTAAAGCAGTCACTGATTCAGACGCCCATCCTTCTCCAAACAACTGCAGGAGCAGCTCAGTGTATCCTCACGAAAGCAGGAGACCAAATCCCAGCCAGGTTATGTCCACATCTCTTGTGACATTTTCCTCTGCCAATTCATGGGTCTTGTATCTTCACCATAACTTGGGGGCAGCTGCTCAGCAAGAAGGCAGTTAGCCTGTCCCACAGCAGATGTTGGTTTTCACATCACTTGCCCTCTGCCTCCAAAGCATGTACTTGGATCTCAGTAAGGGACTGCCAGGTCTGTCAGCACAGCTCTTGCCCAGCTAACAAGCAGCAGCTCCTCATCTGCCATTTCAGTTTCTTGATTGAGAGTCTGCAGCCTGAAGGCACAAGCCAAGGTTCTCCTCTAACAGCAATTAAAGCACATCTCCTGTCTTTCAAGCTTCCACAGAGGTGGCTTTCTATCTGGGGAAGAACATTGGCCCCCCAGCCATTTTACATGGCAGGATGCAGGGTTTCTGCTGCTCTGCACTGGCCACATGCAGCCCCTGCAAATGATGCTGTGCAGTCAGCCAAAACTGGGGCTACAGAAGAAAAGCCCCTCTCTTATTGCAGCAAGGATCTGACCCCAGCGGGGAGATGGAGATGAGCAAGATCCAAAAGCAAGGAAATCTGGGTTAGCAGTCCTGTCCTGACATGCATGCATTCTCAAATGCACTCAATCATGCCCAAATTCAGCATCTTCAGGGAAGAAAGAAAAGCCTCTTCCTCCTACAGAAAGCAAAGTGCCCCCCAATCATTAGGCAGAGAAAACGCCGGTTTCTTCCCAGTTCAGCATAAGCCAAGAGTGCTCAGCGATGGAATTTGTGATGGAAAGCATCAAGGCAGGGAAGACAGGACAGTTTGTTAACTGTCTTCTTCGAAAGTGCCAGGGTGACCAAGTTCCAGCGCTCGCAGTCAGCCGAAAGAGCGCCCCGAGGAGAGAGATGCTGCGTTTGAGACACTTACAGGCAAGTGCTCGGGAACTCATCCGGGAAGCTGCAAGGGAGAGAGGCGTCCGCGCTCAGGATTGCCTGCTCCCGAATACTGCCGCACCCTGTCACCATCTGCCAGCTCCCAAAGTCCGTGGAAACGGAAGATCCGGGCAGAGAGTGGTCCCCCGATCTGCGGCAGAGAGAGAGGGACACGGTGCCGTCAGTCAGGTCAGCAGCCGCAGCCCTTACCCAGCGCTGCTGCCAGCCCGGCTGCCAGCCAGCAGCGCTGACACCCGGCACCAGGGTGCAACATGCAGCTCTGGCTGGGCCCCTGGCCAGGCCTGTCCTTTGAAAGCCAAGGGAGAGCCAAGCTGGCTCCAGAGCAGCGGGAGCGCACCGGGAGCTGGACAGGACAGAGGCAGCGGGAAGCAGATGGCCATGCAGACTGTGAAACCCGTTAGTGAGATGCAACAGCGTGTCCTGCCCCGAATCCCTCGCAGATGGGGATGTCGTGCTCTACAAGGGGCATCCCCCTGTGGCTTGTTGTAGCTGTTAGCACATCCCAGAGCAGCGGCGAGGCCTGATGGAGAATCAAGGTTCTGCTTGGTTAGTGCTGAAAAAGACTTATTGATGCTTGGTCCATTAGAAAACAGCTCACTCTGGAGGAACTAACACCAGATCTGAACAGAGCCAGTCACTGCTCAAGATGTCCCCAAGGCACCACCCCAGCATCTGCGGATCTTTTCAATCCTGTGTTAGAAGAATGGACTGCCCCAGAAGTGAGGTGGCAAAACATCTTTAGGATAGGAAAAACAGCCAAGGGGGGGATAACTGTTTGACGCATGCAGCCTCCCACCACGAAAGCAGGAAGCATGAAATCCTGTAACTGAACCTGAGGAGTCCCTCCAAGTCAAAAGAGGGCACAAGCACTTGTGACAACCCAGAGCTCCTGGCTTCTGGGGAACAAGCAATTACCGAGCCCCGCTGCACAGCAGAGTGTACATAGCTGGAAGCACAGCCTGTGGCAGACCTACTCAATTACACACTCCCGAGATCTTCTGGATAATTTATCTGAGATCTGCTGGGCAGGGAGCAGTGCTCCAGCTCCAGCTCTGCTGGGCCAGGTACTTGCACGCTGTCTTCGCAGCCAAGAATAGCAGTGGCGCACTGCAGCTGCTCCCCAAGGGACCAGGAGAGCAGCTACACAGTCAGGATCTCCCACAGCAAGAAGGGCCTCAGTGAGACTAGAAGGGAAGGCTGGGAGGGGGATGCACAGCAGGAGGCCTATTTGCCATCTCGGTCTAATTCCAGGCCTGCCCTTTAACTGGTCTGATCAATACAGCTGAGTTTGAGAAGTCTGAAAATGGTCCTGAGCTCCTTGGCTGTCAGCTTCCCATCGCAGGGCTGATGCTCCTGCAGCTGCAGTTCCAGGCCTGTCTGGAAGTTCAGGCTCTGGAAGGGCATCACAGCAGCAAATAGGAAGAGCAGAGCTTCACCTGCCCTGCACAGCTCTTGTCCTCTGGCTGCTGGATGAACAGAGGGGTGAGGTTCAGAGCACTGGCTCAAACCCTTCATGCAAAAAGCCGTTTTTCCTGCAGCATGAAATGCCGCAGCAAGACCGAGGGTGTTTCCCTGAAAGCAGAACTGCAGCAGATACTGTTAGAAAGACCTTTTGGAGATCTGTCAGGGATAACCTGCCTTTGGGGGCAGGAATTCGTAAGGGAAAGGGAGCAGCTGCTCAGTGACATCTACCCCTCTCCCTGCCTTTGGAAGAGAAAGCCAAGGAACTCAGTGTGAAGGAGGAGAGCAGGCAGAGTGCTTGGGCTCAGAGCACAGTGCCATCCTGGAAGCACAGTGGGAAGAGTGCAGGAAGCCAGGGAGAAGCACAGAGGAACACTGCCTCAGTGCAGAAGGAAGAGGAGGATGTCACCTCCCTGACAGTACAGCGCAGCCAGAAAGGAGAACCAGGAGTGTAAGAATTTGAGCTAAAGCAGTAAAGAAGGCGATAGGCAACAGGCTCAGGCTGAAAGGAGCCAGGGACATGATTCTGTCAGAAAAGTAATGGTTGCTGAGCAGAGGAGAGGTTTGGGGCCAGGCAAAAACAGAGGTTTTGAGGAGGGTTAAGTGGATGGCAGAGGAGGGCTTGGGCTACAGCAGGATCTCCAGGATCTCCCTCTGACAGAGGCAGTACCAGGAGCCTGCCTGGGAGACTGTGTCCACATGGCAAGCAAAGACATGATCCATGGCCCCAGTAAAAATGTGCCTCTGCCCAGTATCATCAACCACACTGGTCAGATAAGTCTGTGCTAAAGAAGGTGAACAGAAAATAGTTTCCTACTTTGGCCTCAGCTTCCAGCTCCTGGTCACCTTCCATGGTTGTCAGCGAAGATTAGATGGATCTTACACCCCCTTCTTGGAAGTGGATCAAGTCACCTCTTGAATCCTTTCTTGGACAGGCTGATAAAAGCATCGTGTACCTCCTGCAAGGCTGGCCCTCAGTGGCTCTGGAGCTCTCTAAACAACCCTTGCTGGGGTCCCCAGCCCTGTCAAGGCTCTGCAAACTCAGTCAACTTACATCTAACCTGATAGCACTGGAGTGCAGGAGCTCAAGGCAGCCAACTCTGTGCCTCACCTCCAGGCAGCAGGATAAACACCAGCCAATTCATTGAATAAACTGACTGACTCTGCAGTAAGTCCAGGTGATGTCTCCTGGCTCAGATATCTGAGCCAAACCAGAGGAGCTAAGGCTCTGGCACACTTTCCCCTCTATCCAGAAAGCACCTTCAACAGCCTTGAGAGACAGCAGGGCCAAGGCTGGGTGAGCCAGGCAGGGAAGGCAAGGCATGGGAAAGCCTGTGTCTGCACTGCAAGGGCAGCAGACCTTCTTAAACACTGAGCCAGGCTTGAGCCCAAGACCAGATCTCTATGGTGACTCCATCCCACTTCAATCCAGGCAACGCCAGAGGTGAAAGTCTTCCCGTTGTTTCTATCCCTCAAGGCTCCCTCTAAAGTTTTGCTGCAAAGGCCCAAAAAGGGCTTCAGTGAAGCCCCCAGAGCAAGCTGGGGCTGCTCAGACAGCAGCACCAGTCCCCAAGCCTGTAAGAACAACATGTCTGCAACACACTGCAGCCATGGAAGGACTCCAGGGCCAGGCCAGCAGCCAGATGACCATGGCAAAGCTGACATGGTTAGAGGAGATGAGATACAGCAAGTCTTCAAGTCACTGGCTCTGCCACAGACATCCAATGGCAGACAGAAAAAGAATGAAAGTGAGCTTCACACACCCACCTCTTCAGGTCCACGAGTGGGAAGAAACTCCCTCAAAAGTGCAAGATTAACAAAATTAGACTAGCAAAACAGAGATGAGCTGCAAGCTGTTCCTTCACACAAGGAAGGACCTCTAGCAGGCCATAAACTGGCAACTCCTAGCCTGGAATAGTTCCTTTTAATTAGGTCAGTGCTTCCCATGCAACATGCTGCATAGAAAAGAGTATTTCAGAGCACACGGACACTCGCCTACCAGAGGAGAGCCAATACTGGGGGCAGAGCAGCACTCAGGGATCCTTCCTTTTCCTAATCCATAACTGAGAGGAGTGCCAAGTGCCAACAGCTACGCTCTCATCCTGCCCTGCGCTGCCCCCGCTCACCTGCCACATTTCCACACACCTCGGACTATTTGGGAAGCAGCTCACTTGCCAGCATATGCTCTGTGCCTCCAAACCGAAGTAGGTACCACAGGCACAGGCAGACCTGGAGTTAAGGGCAGAGCTTCCTACCTTTGCGTGGGAAGTGTTGGCAAGGAGGACTTGGCAGAGAGCTGTACCGAGAGCCCTGGCTGAATCCCAGGCAGCTATCTACAGGCTGCTGTACCAGCCTGAGCAGCCAGTCCTCCGTGAGCACATCCATTTCTCATTGCAGCGCAGTCATGTGCCAGCCAGCAAGCCTGTTTTGTCATGCAGGAATTCCAGAAAACATTCCTGTAAACAATTCCTGTCCTGCTGCGGCTGCTATCCCAAGTGATCTTATCACGGGTACAGCTTTCCGTGCCAGGTGGCTGTAAGGAGAGAGGCACAGTGGGCATGCAGACTTATCACTGTCAACACAACACCCAGAGCCAAGGGACAGCAGCTTCTCTGCCCTCTGTGCTCAGTGTGCTCCCTCCAGACCCTCAGCTGAGCCATCTGCAGCCCTTTAAGTAAGGGAGTTCTCTGTGGCTGTTGACCAAAGCCGATCTCGACTCTTCACATCACTGCGCTCTGCGTTTTGTTTAATTAACTTAGCAAAAGCACATTCAACCAAAGATTATCCAGCTGCTAATCCACATTAGTGCTATGGACAGACAGGCTAAATCCCTGACACGGATACAGGGATTTTCTGCAGTGTCATGGGACACTTAGACTATTAGTGTCAACTGCAAACACAGAACATGGTCTGCAAGCTGCTACCCACTCGCAATCCAATGCACGCTATCCGCCATTCTCAGAGCTCTCTGTTTGCAGAACAAGGAGCACAAATAATCTATGCAGGATCTTCATGCATGTTTACCCTCAGCAGATGTGACCTTACCATCGTGTTGGGATAAGCTAAAAAAACTGCTAGGAATTTGCCTTTGTAATGCTTTGTCTAACAAGAACCATCCTGGGATTTATGGGTATCCAGGACCTCGGGATCAGAGCAGGACTTTGGCTGGTGAGGTGATGGTAGCAGCAGGCTGCTGACATAGCCCAGTCAGGAGAGGGGCTTGGCTTCCTTTGGGACACCCCAGCTCCCCTCTGGCCTCTGCTCATCCCTCTGCTGGTTTTCCTTTCCAATCCCTTTGGATCATCCCTGCGTGCCAGCAGTCGGACTGAGCTGTTCATGTGAACTACCTGGAGGGTGCATGCTGGCATTTTACAAGCAACCATTCTTCTCCAACTGCTGCTGCAGTGGTTTAAGTGTTTTGTTGCTATGGTCACACAACCAGAAGATTAGGAAGTCAAGTACAGTAGTTTCTTCATCTTGAGAGCCTTGGATGTTAACCTGTCAGCAGCACTGTGGAGATAAAGGTATTTTTGGCATCCTGATCTCTGTGCTCCAGCCTTTCCATCCTACTGCCACCATTTCTCAGGGGGTGAAGGGACAGAATTAACTCTTCCTTCCATCACAGATGCATTCTTTCTCCTTGCAGAAATGGACTCATCCTTTCCTTTAGGATGGAAAATGGTGGCTGAAGGTACTGTGATATCCATCAGCTGTGTGGAACTCACCAGACAAATTCAGACTAACATTGTCTTAGCAGGGAGACTAAAGCCAAGTGGAGTGACATAACCCCTCTCTCTGGAGAAAACACACCATGTTCAGGCCCCAAAATGTGCAAGTCATGTCAGTGTCTTCCTTTAGCTATCAACTGTTAGCAGAGAGGCAGGCAGGGCACAGCCTGACTGATCTGGCAATGGACTAGGAGGCAAAGGAGCACGAAGGTGCCAGAAGACTGGGTCTGAAAGAGAAGCTCAGTTCACCTTGACAATTCCTTCCACTCCCTACAGGGTCTCTAGATTTACTCCCTCCAGCCTGCACATGGAACAGGGCAAACCCAGGTGACACCAGAGATGGAGAGCGTACAGGGGTGCAGTCCTCACCCAGCACAAGTGCAGCAGGGTAACCACCTTTATGTGCTGCTCATTTCACCCCTTTGGCTTCACAACTGATCCCCTTCTCCCGTCCCTTGGTTCCAGGCTGCACAAGGGGTTTGTTCCCCTTATTGTCCCCTACTGCCCCATCATGTACTTTGTTCTAGCCTAGCTATGTTAACAAATTTAACAAGGATTTAGAGTGGACTGGTGCAACCTTGCTGTGCTGAAGGGATTTAAAGGCTTTACACCATGGTAGAAGCTATAATAAAGGTCAGCAAAAGGTTTATAGTGGAATTCACAGAATGTTTCTCTCTTACACTGACAGAATACTGCAACTCCTTCTCAGGAATAGTTATTTGGCATAAAGAAAAACCACCCCCAGGAGCTCTGGCCTGGATAAAACAAGCTTCCCCACCATGCCTGCCTGCTGCTTCAAGCCCTGGGGGTGCCAGTTCTGAATACCTGACACCAATGGGCAGTAATCATCCAAAAGCTGACAAACACCTCAGCCAGAGGAAGATAATTGTTGCCTTTACCAACTCTGAGCCCCTGCAACACAAATCCCAGGGATTGGTGCTCAGCCCTTTCCTGTGCTGCTCCTCTGCCTACGCTGTTTCTCCTCTTTGCTCTCACAGAGCAGAGTCAGGCTGCAGCATCATGAACATTGCTGCAAGCTCACTGCCAGCCCCGCTCTGAACATCCTGTCAGGTCTTGGGAATGGCATGAGACCACACACAGGAATCGTGGCACTACCACCATAAACAAAAGCAGCCCCAAGACAAGCTGGTTTCTTTTCTTGAGAGAGAGCATTCTCTTCTTGGGAGATTTGTTTTTTCTTACAGACAATACAAAAGTGGGCCCCAGCAACAACTGAACACCATCCTATTGATCTCTTTTCCTGGGAGAACAGTTGGCATCACACATGAAACCTGCCAGACTGATTTCTTTGCTGGAATCAAGAGCCTTGGTAAGAAAAATGTTATAAATTTGATAGACTCACAGGATGCTTTGTGTTGGAAGGGACCTTAAAGCTCATCCAGTTCCAACCCCCTGCCACGGGCAGGGACACCTTCCACTAGAGCAGCATTTTCTACGCTTCACTTGTTTGTCATTTGGTTTTCCATGTGTACTAAAATTTGGCTGGTGGCTGTTTCTGAAGGGAATCGCTAGAAAAAGACTCACTGGAAAACCTGCAGAGACTACACAAGCTTTTGATGCTGTTAACAGCAACCTCTTATCTAAGAGCCTCTTTATCCCCTGTCGGCCTACACACATGGTGTTTGCTCCACAGGCTCTGTTCTTTCTTCCCTCGCCTAGCTCTCTGCTCCACTCTGCCCTACTGCAGCATCAGACTCCAGAAGGGTGCCAGAATATCCTTTGTTATGGCATGAGATTAGGCTCAGGTCCAGGGTCCCCATTCCCTGGCTGCCCAGCAGGAACACACAGCCTTCCGGGCGGAATCCTTTGCACTGGCACAGCGCTCCCAGCTTGCTCCCAGCAGATTCCACCTCTGCTTGCCAGCAGCACCCAGAGGGTATTTCCAACCTGCAGAGTCAGGAAGGTCAGCAGGTGGAAAGGGGGACAGGACAGATGCAGAGTGAGGTCTGCTCTGTTTGAAAGGCTTCCTCTCCCACGCAACACAGCCATTTCAAGCCTCTGTGGACGCATCTGACACAGCAAGTGAGCTCCAAGCATGCGGGACGCAGAGATGCCAGAGCTCATGGAGTTCAGGCAAGCACTGAAGACAGGCAGAGCAGACACCTAGCTGTTATTGGCACAGTTCCTCACTCCTCTAAATAGGCTGAGGCAGGAATTGCTGTGTTTAATGGCCAGCATTTCATACAGTGCCAGGTTAGAGAGGAAAAGGCCTCCTGATGCCCATTTGTAGATACAAACACAAGTGCTCCAGGGTTCTCCGAGCCACACAAGTGCTGCCCTGCACTCTCTTCAGCAGACACTGATTTTGCTGAGGGATGCTCTACTCCATCCCAGCTCACCTGGATCTGGGCACTTCCAGTGGGCTGCTTCCAATCCTCAGGAAGTTATCAGAATGGGTTGATGAGGAGGAGCTGGAGGACTTGACTTCGACCACCCCTGCGGAAGGCAGCCTATCTTCAGACTGCTGTGCCCTGCTCCAGAGCACAGCTTGTGGTGATGATGCACAGCTCTTCCTCCTGCAGGATAGAGGACTTAGATGAGAACAGTGGCTTTCCCATGCACTCCACCACAGCCTGGCTTTTACCCCAGCAGCTACAAGCTCTTGTTCCCACTGAACCTGCCCTCCTCCCTCCCAGGGAACCACGAGTATAACCATTCAGTGAGGGGGTACACTGAGCTCAACCCATCTTAGCCCATTCTTTTATAGATGCCCATCCACGTGACCTGGAAATCAGCGACAGGAGAATACACCAGCCCACACACATACAGCGATGGCTTTGTTTAGTCTAGCTGCAAAAACGCCTCAAGCAAGGGGCCTCCCAGCAGGAAAAGACCATTTCAATCTGCTCTGACTCTACAGAATGTATCAGCCCAGGAGCTCAGCCCAGGTGGGTGTTTCGCACGTACTGATGAAGGTGACAGGGACACAACACCAGTAGTATTTTCCCTTGTGGTGATTCCCTGCAGGGGAAGGTGACCACACTTCTGACCATGTGCTCAGAGCTGACAGTCACTCCAGTTGTAGACACATTTCAGTCCTCTCCTTGTCTGTGTTTACAGCCCCAGATTGCTCTGGCTTCTTTTCTAGCCAGCATGTTCATTCTCAGGTGTGATTCACTGTCCATTGCTGCATTAAGCTGCTCTTCCTGGAATGTGGATGGGCATCTTAGCTTTGAGATAGCAAGCACTGTCAGCAAGTGTAGCTAAAGACAGGCTCATTGTACAGTGGAAAGCATGATATCCTCTCTTCACTTCTTGAAGTGTGTCCACCCTCAAACATCACACCACAGCCTCTCTCAAGCATTATTCATCTCATGTTATCATAGCTGCCAACATAGCTGCACAGCCTGCAGAAACAGGCTTGTACAGCTAAAAACCAAATGCCTCTCCCTGCAAAGAGACCTTGAGGCCACTCTGCTTTCAGGGCAGCACAATGAAGCGCGTCCCCTCCTCTCCCTACTCACACTATGCACCCAGCTTGTGGCAAGATCTATCTGTTCTCTGGACTACAACAGCCTGCAGCAAGACCCATGCTAAGCACTCACAATGGTCCTTTCCCCAAGCTCATGCCCATAGCACTGGCCTAAATCATCTCTGTGGCAGCAGCAACTAATGCCAACACAGCCTGATGTCCCCAACAGGAAAGAAAGCAAACCAGAGTTAGAAAACATCACAAAATCAAGCCCTGATACACCTAAGTGCATCGGATCTATTCCAGCACGCTCTGGTCACTTCACATCTTGGGAAAATCATGTGTACTTTGTGCTGCAGGATCTAGCCTGCATGTCCTGAGCACTCAGAGGTGTGTTCAGTTTAACATCCTGCAGCCAAGCAAGTGGAAAGCTGTTCTCTACTTGCTGCAGTCACTTTGCTGTGGCCTGATACGCTCTGTGTGTTCAAGAGGACACTGCTGCTCACTTGGCAAATGCAGTATGGGACTCTCCATCTCCATTTTGTGAGCCTCCAGGAAGAGTCTCTCTTCCCCTCTTCAGCAGTTTATAAACTGACTCACAATGTGCTTTAGAAAGGCTGCTGCCACTGGCATGGCTGCAGGCTCAGTCCCGGAGGAATTCCATCTGCCTCCAGCACAACCCAGTTTTAATTTAAAATAATTGCAATATAAAACAGTGCCTTCACATGTGCTGAGGGAGAGGAGAGAAAAATTAAACTGAGAGGGGCAACCCTGCAGCAAGGCTCTGAATCCCCAAACAGCACCAGAAACTCCACAAGCAAAGCACAACGCCTATCCCAGAGCAGTAGTGCCCAGACACCTTCCCCAGTCCCCACTTCCACACAGCCATCTGCATTCCCAGCAGAGTCCTATATGATCCCCTATCAAGAGGGAGCACTGAGAATTCCACGTTCTCCACCAGAAGTATCTCTAAGCAGCACTAAAGGCTTTCAGCTCACACCTTGTGCTGGTAGAGGGGCTAAAGCTTAGAGGGGATTCTTGGCCACCCAGCCCACCTACCACTAACTGCAGATACTCCCCTCTATAACCTCTTCCACAAACTGAGCTTTATTTTAGGGCAGCAAAACTGACTCCACTTTTCCCTGGGGAGGCTGCTGCCAAATGTGATTTTTCTGGTAGTTTGGAACCAACATTTAGAAGTAATGAAATCCTTTCTGAAGGAGGTTTAACAGTGAAACAACGAAAAGGAAACAAAGATGCTTTACTTTTATCAGGGGACACACTTCAGGAGCATCCCTACAGGAGCTCGACAGTCTTTAACATGGGTTGGTCTCCAGTTTTTGGTGCAGAAGCTTTGCAGCACAAGTTGCAGCAAAGCCTCTGACAAACTCCTCCCTCCACTGTAAGGAACCCAGGCCACAGAGAAGCAGACCCAGAGGGCGAGGGACTTCAGAAGTATCTTTTCTACTGTGCTCAGAGCCTGCTCCTGTTGTTATCCACCGAGTGGGTATCTCCTCACCATGCTGCTTGAGCCTGTGCTCCTGCTGGCATCAGCTCCACTGCTTCATAGGTGAAGCTCCCGGCTGCTCCAGGAGAACTTTCCATCCCCAGGGAGAAGTCGCTGCTCAGACTCGTGGTGCTGCCTCGGTCTCTCTGCTCTAGAGAAAACAAAACAGAGGGACCTGAAGGCCACCTAGGTCTCACTTCCTCTCTCCCTCCAAGCAACACAATTCCCACACGCTCTGGGGCTGTGCTGGTGCGAGGTCCCAAGGGAAGCATACCCATGTGTGGTCACCTTGATGCTGGGAACCCAAGCCCCCAAGCGATCACCCATTACCAGCACCCATGGGTGCTGAAGCTTGGCAGCAGCACTCACTGAGCATGCAGATCTCTTCCAGGGTGAAGCCAGGTGGCAAACTCTTCCTTCTGGGGAACGAAAGACACAGTTACCTCGGGCACACTTCAGGCCACAGCCACATCCCTGCAGCACACAGCGGATGAGAGCAGTTGGGAGTTAGCTGTGCATGGGCAGAGGGGAGGGGATGGGGCTGCTGTGCAGTATCCCAGTGTCCTCACAGTCCCAACCCTGTGCTTTGAGAGGGTGGCAACAGGCTGTGGGCAGACACGTGCTTATTCAGAGCCCCCTGGGTGGGCTTTGGCTCTTTCTGCCCCTCCTGACATCAGAAGGGATTTAATGTTAAAGAACCAGCCAGCCCGCTCCTCCCAGCAGTGCCTGGTGGAGCTTTCTGCAGCCTGCTTGAGCCAGAGCACAGAGCTCTGGCGTCATCCATGCTACAGCAGCCATGGGCAGTCATTAAGCAGAGAGCACGTTTGAGCACGGACAGTTTTTCAGAGCACAACACGGCCCCTCACAAGCCTCTGCCCCATTTTGCAGCCTTCAGAGTGCAGAATAAATTAAGGAAAAGTGGGCCAGGACACCAGGGCTTCCATCTCCCCAAAGGAACGGCACTAACAAGCTCCCTGGCTCTGCAGCCCATGCAGCAGCAGGCACAAGCTCCTTACCTCTGCGACTTCACAGCAGAGAACTCCTCAGAGGTGATGTGCTTCAGAAAATTGAAGCAGAAAAAGAAAATCTGAGCAAAGGGAGAGAGAAGAGCGGTTCAGGAATGAACCCGAGGCTCCATCAGCCTCTTATCTCGGTGGGGAGCTGCTGGAAGGCGGTAGATAACAAGAAATCTGCAGCTATCAGCCTCCCATGCGCCATGGGTGCCACCATCCCTTCCTGGACCTCCTCTTACACATTAAGCTGACCCTCTCTCTGCTCCCTGCCACGGCGAGGCCCAGAAGGGAAGGCGTAAAACGTGTCCTCAGCAACGCCTTGCACACATGCTGCAAGCACACAGCAGCTACTTGTGCCATCAGTGCAGAACAGCAAAGAGATGACCCCAGGAGCTGCCTGGACACCCAGGTAAGCAGCAAACCCAGCAGGACCTTCTCCTCCTGCAGTGGCTTGCAGGGAGTGCTAGAGGCAGCCATGCACCTCCTCTCCTGTTGCAGCTACCGACTCTGCCCTCGGCCATGCAGGCACCAGAGCAGAGCTGCCACGCTCGAGTCAGCAGAGCTCTGGGAAAGCAATGGATGGGAGGAATGATACTAATACAGAGGTGCTGGAAAACTGAAAGATGGAAAATAGGCCAAGGTCCTGGCTCTGCTGTTCAGAGGCAGGGGATTTCCTACTGAGGTGAGAGTCTGAGGAGCAGGAGGTTAGCTACAGGGTTAGACATGCTTTCCACCTCCGGATCTCTACCCAAAAATGATGCTGCAACTACAGTCACAGCAATCATCTTTTGCTGTTTAACGGTGAAAGATATGAAGAGAATTAGTTCCACTAATCTTAACTGCCTCCCAACCCCATCTGTGCACCCACAGATACACCCTAAACACACACACTGGAACCAGCACAAGCAGCTGTGGTGACACGCAAGCCACACGCAGCTGCAGCACCCAGGCAGGAGGGCTGGTGCTCAGGACAAGCACACAAGATGAGACAGCTTTATTTCCAGGAGTCACAGGCCTTAAGCATCCCTTCTCACTGCTGAGCTGAAGAGCACAGTCCTACCTACCCCGGGACCTGAACTCTAATGGCACAGCACAACTGGCAGGGCTGACACCCATCAACCCAACTGCAGCCCAAGAGAAAAGCATTCCCTCACCTTATACATCAGGCAGTGATGGGGCAAGACTCCTACCTCCTACGTTTCCAGCAGCTGAATAATCTTTCAGCAGCCCAGCCAAAGCACTGGTATGACCAGAAGCAGCAGTGAATGCTGCTCCTGTAAACAAGTATCCTGAGAATAGAAAGCAGTGCTCCAGAGCACTCACCTCTTCTCCTTTACTGAGTCGATCGACTAACATGTGCCTGGAAAGAGAGCAAAAGCAGCTCAGTCACATGCTGGAAGCCAGAATGAGCAGAAGAGCACAAAGCTCTCAAGAACAGCCCCATGCCTGAGCCTCCAGGTGAAAAACAGCCTCGTCCCCTCTTGTCACAGCTCACTGGGAGCTGCCCCAACATCCACCTTTAGTTGTGAGTAAACACGAATCCCCTGATGGCTTCTTCCCTGCTGTGCAGGGATGTATGCCCATAGCAGGGGACTGGAACTAGATGTTAAGGTCCTTTCCAACCCAAACCATTCTATGACCTATGTATATGCAAGTAAAACTTAGTGTGCCTACCCAAAGAGAAACCAGTCATAGGCCACTGTTAGGTAGAGAATCTCAGATGGCTCCAGGGATGCGTGGATCAGCCCATCCTGCAAAGCAAATGAGAACAGCCTTCAGGCAGCAGCCCTAGGGGCTGGGACTTGGGAATTCATCATCTACTGGAAACTGTCATGGTGATCCAAGATGCCCAGCTCGCTCCACCTGCCTGTGATAGTGCTCTGATGGCAGGGCAGAGCATGTTGGGCTCCACATCAAAGCCAATCCACACCCCCTCTGAAGCCAACATAGTCAAAAGAAACATTAACTGCTCCACAGTCACCCACCCTCCAAGCAACCACCCCCAGAAGCAGAGCAGGTCAGCTAGGTACTCACGGCCCATAAGGAGAGGCGTAGCAAGGAGATGAAGAGAGGAGTTCGATCCCAGCCGGATATACAGTGCACCAGGAGCCCGCTGTCATCTGCTCCAGGCAGGGGAAGGAAGGAGAAGGACAAAAACCCCATGTTGCAACAAAAGCAATGACTTCCTGGCAAATGCATAAGGACAAGCTGCCCTCTGCCCCCCTGCCCAGGCTCAAGAGCAGAGCTCATCCACCAAACCAGAACATTCTGTCTTGAATCCGGCAGCCCACAAGCAGCTCAGAGTGTCCTGGGCTGTCAGCAGCCCCAGCTGATGTGCTGTCCTGGTCCTGACAGCTGCTCAGGACATGAAGTCACTAGGTATGAACATCACTCTGCTACGCAGAACATGCACCTACCCAGCTGCACCCCTCTATCACAACCTATTCCCTCATCCCATAGAAACCTGCTCCAACTGAACGCTTTTCCAGTCTCACCAACCAACCAACCCACACTGAGCAGAGGCACACACACACTCCTGTGACCTCCAGAAAACCCAGTATGTCCCAGAACAACTGCTGCAGGAGTCTGTAGCTGGCTTCATCTGTCCAACAGTGCTAGGTACAAATTCACAGTGCCCAGAGGGAATGGAATGCCAGCATAGGGCAATACACACCTTTCAAAGAGCTGGGTGTGATGACAGAGGATGGAAAGGGCTCATAAATAGGCACCTAATGAGACCCTGGACTGGGGGGACAAAACAAGTGTCCAGCAAAATACGAGCAAGAGTCAAGAAGCAGAGGAACAAATGCTTCCTTTTTTCAGTTTTAAAGCAGTAAAACATTAGCTCATATTTCCAGCTATCTCTCCATCCCTGAGAGGACATGGCTTTCCCTCCAACAGGGGAGCTGGAGCCCTGAGATACTAGGAATCACCCTGTTCTGAAGGGAGAGAAGTGAAGATGTCTATAAAGTGTCTCTTCTATATTGGGAATTGATCCACAGTGGCACTAATATGATGATATTAGAACAGTGGATGATGAGCTGTTCCTCCAGAGACAGCAACTACTCCAGTTCAGACTGCTGGGAGCAAGGAGTTTGCCTTACCATCACTATTGATGATGGAGATCAGCAGCTTCAGGTAGTTCTGTGTCTGCTGTACAAGATCCCAGCTCTGCAGGAAGAGAAATGTTGATGATAAAGGTCTGCCCACAGCAAAAGGCTGCTGTGCAATTCAGAGCCTTTCTATATCACAAATACAGCCTGAAACTTGCACTTGCCAACATCTCTGCCTAGAGAAGCACCTCAACAAGGGGTGACAGATCATCTATCCTTCGGCAGCATGTTCCAACAGATCATCCTCAGAAACAACACACAAGACTCCTCCTTATCTGAAGGTCTGATTTCAGACTGCAGACATTGCTTCCTGCGCAGCCTTTCTTCCCCAGACTGAAGAGCGCTTTAGAATTAGTATTTTCTCCCTGCAAATGTACTTCTACATTAATCAAGTCAACCCTCCATCACCTCTGTGATTAGCTGGAGCCTGAGAACTTCAGCTTCAAGTGAAGCACCTTCTCCATCCTGAGATCATTTCTGCATCTGCATTTATTATGCCCTCCTCAATTTTTAATATCCTTTGTAAAACACTGGCTGCTCAGGATTCTAGTGAACAAGTTTCTAGCCATAAACAAGCTGTGCTCCCATCAGTTCTGCTTCAACACTGCAAGCTGCTTGTGCATGATTCTGCTTTATTTAAATCATTGACTGATGAACACTGGCCCAACATGGGGAGCTCTGCTCATGGGGCGCTTCCAGCCAGAGAGCACAGGAGTGTGACACGCTCCAGCACAACCAATCAGCACCAAACCTGGAGGGGCTGGTGGGTCCACTGATGTGTGAAGTGGAGCACAGTCATCAGCAGTAGAAGGTGATGCTCCCTGCTAGAACAGAGGTAAACCTTGAAGCTTGGGCAAACACAGGAGTTCAATTATCATTTGTAATGCTGTTGCAATAACAAGGAGACATGCTACAGGCAAATATGATTTTCTACTCCTCTCCCAAAGGACAGGAGCCGTGACGAAGGTGCCAAGTCCCTTGGCTGCTGATTGCAGAAGGGAAGGCTGACCTCTCTCAAGATTCTCCACAGTCAAGGAAGCATGTGCAGAGCTAAGACTGTGAACAAGTAACACTGCTTGCCATTTCCTGGCATGTTACTTGCTTTTGTTAGCAAGGGAACTCCCTAAGGGACTGCAAGCTTTACACAGCTACAGAACAAACTTGGACGTTACAGCCAGCTGCCTCAGGACACATCAAGCCTTTGGATAGAGGATTTCCACTGCCAATGTGAAGAGCCAAGTAAGCAGCCTCGCTCCCACTGGGATGGTATGAAGTGAGCCAGATTATGGCAACGGGAGCAAGTCAGGCTTCAAATCATTACTGATCCTTCCTGAATGGATTCATGAGCTCCCACAGAGATGGCTGCTTTGCTCACCTGGTACTCACTCCAGTCAATGTTCAGAGACTGGGTCAGAGAGACTGGGATACTTAACGGAGCATCTACATAATCCTGCAAAAAACAAACACAATTGGTCAGAGAAAAGCCCTGATCTGAAGGCAGTGAGTTCCAGCAAAAACTATAACAATAAACGCCAACTGGTGCATCTGAAAGAAAACATCTCAGCAAAGCATCTTTGGATGCAGAAAAATGAAGTGGTAAGAATTAACTCATAGCCTCTTAGAAGGGCTAGTGGAGGAGCTTTTCTGTGCTCCCAATGGTGGAAGTCAGTGATAAGGCATGTTAGTTCCTGAATTCCTCTAGGGCTGCTCCACTCAACCATCTCCCTCAGCAGAAAACAGAATATGAAGACAGAAATAACAGAGGCTATCAGTAAGATCTCAAATCCAAACCCAGGAGCGACCCATGCCCTGCATGAGAGCTCAAGCAGCACTGCAGGATAACAATTCAGTTATTTTACATACAGATTTTACAATTAGCAATTCAGTACATTCACTGCTTTGTTTGTCCTAATGGCTTCCTCCTTGTGATCAGGAGTAAGCACCTCCCGTATGAAGGCAGGCTGAGAAAGTTGGGGCTGTTCAGCCTGGAGAAGAGAAGGCTGCGTGGAGACCTCATAGCAGCCTTCCAGTATCTGAAGGGGGCCTATAGGGATGGTGGGGAGGGACTCTTCATTAGGGACTGGAGTGACAGGACAAGGGGTAACGGGTTAAAACTTAAACAGGGGAAGTTTAGATTGGAGATAAGGAAGGAGTTCTTTACTGTAAGGGTGGTGAGGCACTGGAATGGGTTGCCCAGGGAGGTTGCGAATGCTCCATCCCTGGCAGTGTTTAAGGCCAGGTTGGACAGAGCCTTGGGTGCCATGGTTTAGTGTGAGGTGTCCCTGCCCATGGCAGGGGGGTTGGAACTGGATGATCTTAAGGTCCTTTCCAACCCTAACGATTCTATGACTCTATGACATATAGACCTTGCTTAAGAACTCTGAGATGAGACCCCAGCCCAGTAACCCCCTCAGGTCTCCATTTTGTAACCTCCAGGTACCTGTTTCCAGTTAAATATGAGACCTTCAGCTGTATAATCCCGGTCTTTGTAGTCCTTAAAAAATTCACAGCCTGCAAGAAGAGGAGATAATGAACAGTTCAGCTGACTGAGATCTACCCACTGAAGTGCCCTGTGGGACTGGAAGTGCTGGCAGCCCCGGGCTCCAAAGCACCAAACTAATCAAAACTGCTGCCTGCGGGAAGAGAAGAGCAGTAATCATCAGTGAGTGCAGCACAGCCTCCCAGCAGCACAACCCCGAGCACTCAGCAGTGAACACACTCACACAGCAAAGGGCAAACTCCAAACTCACAGCTAATGGGGAGTCTGAGGGACTGGTTTCCTTCTTTCCCAAACAAGAGGTTTCACCAAGGAGCTGCACTTTCCAGGGCCAAGGGCTTTTGCACAGATCTAAAGGCATCAGCCTGACATGCTGAGTGAGAAGGAGCCAGCAAAAGGAGGTGTTGGCAGAGCCCTGGGGAAAGGCAGCTTTCACAGGGCATCTGCTGCAGGCAACACGAAAAGCTCTGCCAGAGGCTGCTGTGATTTCTCTCACATTCCCTCTTTCAAACACACAAACTGCCCTATCTGAAGGAAGCAGGTACATAACCACTTCCAAGGCTTCCTCCAAGCCCTCTGCCCCTGAAGCTTGTCCTTTGGCTCTGCTCTTTTCAAACAACTATTTGAAGTCTCTGCTGCAAACTGCAGTCACTTGTCACAGCTGAGCAGCACCGCTAGCACTGAGGCTGCCTGCAGGATACACAAACACCTCTCCCAATGTACTGTGTGTGCACCAGCAGTGCCAGAGTGCCCCTGACACTACCAAAACACCCGTGCTGAACACAGGCAATGATTCCTACCCTGCAAGTCACAAGTAACTCCAATGGTGGAAAAAAGTCTGTACAAGGACAGGACTGGCCCCCAGAAACACAGAGTCAGGCAGCAATCTGTCAGCTGAGATCTAACTCCAATTAAACAACAGCTTAAAGCAAAGAACAACGGACTATGGCAGTAAGTATTGGCATCTACAAGTGCCAAACACCAGTCAAATGGAGAAGAGGGCTTTTCTGCACAGGAAAGCACCAAAGTTTCTACAGATAACCCACTCTGAGCCAAGTCTTTCACCCCAGACAGTCACAGAGGGACATGGGTTAGCGGTGGACTTTGCAGTGCTGAGTTAATGGTTGGCCTCGATGATCTTAAAGGTCCTTTCCAACCTAAAGGATTCTGTGATTCTGTGTCTGGACACTAACTCGGTCATCTAAAACAAGAGGATCTCTCTTCTTCCTCATCCTTTACAAACCCTACAAGAGGCCTGTGTATGCTGTCTCTCCCATGTTCTCAGTCTGGTGAGGAATATGCTGCCAACGTGTATATCCTTGTGCCACGGGCTACAGAAATCAGTATTTCTGTACACCTCAGCAACCTGCATGGCAAACTCGACAGAAATCCTCATGCAGCTTCTCTGAATTGTCACTGATTTCTGTATGAAAGGAAATACATCTTTAAATCAGTGTATTTCTCACCGTGAGGGTGCTGAGGTGCTGGCACAGGGTGCCCAGAGAAGCTGTGGCTGCCCCATCCCTGGCAGTGTTCAAGGTCAGGTTGGACACAGGGGCTTGGAGCAAGCTGCCCTAGTGGAAGCTACCCCTGCCTGTGGCAGGGGTTTGGAACTGGATGGGTTTTAAGGTCCCTTCCAACCCAAATCATTCTACGGTTCTATGAAATAAAATGTACATTTAAGGGCAACAACCAGTAATCCAGGAAAAGTCTGGGTTTGGATCATCCACAACAGTTTTGAGGGTTTTGGTTTGGCTTTCTTCCTTTCTGTGTGTATGGAAGAAAGAGTCCTTTCCTGCAGACAGACCGCAGGCACAGCAATCTCACATCCAATCCCATCAACGAGCCTGACATCAGCAGGCAGGCAGCAATATTCAGCTCATCTTTAAGAGCACAGCAAGTGACCCAGCAGTGGTTGCTAGGCACAGGGACTAATATAGCCAGGGAGACAGACTGGAGTGGTCTGCATCAGATCTGTATATGGCAGGCTCAGGTTAACAGCTCTGCCTGGCACTGAGGACATCTCACAATGGTGCTCTGCAGCACCAGCACTAGAAAATAGTCTTAGGAATTGGGGTTTTATATAACACAGGGCAAGATACATGTTTTGCATCAAGTAGTTTGGAGCTGCAGGGGTTCCAAAGGCTGTATTAACCCCATCTCCACCTCTGGGACTCTTTTTCTGCACTCAAATTAACTGGAACTGCTGAGAAATTATTTTGTCACCTGAAAGAGTGCCTAATGCTGACTCACAGCAGCAGAGCAGCCAGATTACTGCACAGTTTAAAAGAGCTTTTCTCCAGAGGGACCATAGGAAATATTGAGCAAGCCACAGTCATTTCACCACACAGACACACAGATAGTTCCCAGTCCCCAGAAGCAGATTGTCACCTGTCCCTTGGGAGTCCCTCTGGACATCAGTCCTGTACCTGGATATGGGATGGAGAGAAGCGTGAAGTCAGCGTAACGTTGAGCTTTGTCCACCTTCTCAGAAGACGTCACACTGCATGGACAAGAGGAGAACAGACATTTGTGAGTGCTTTTCACGGGAATACCAGCACCCAAAAAGCTACCTGTCACATCTCCCTGCACCGTGGCTTGACTCAGCAGCGAGCAGAAGTTACCCAACACATCCAAATAATGAGGTACAGCCCAAAACCACTAAAGCTTTCCTCCGAGAGAAATACCAGGAGAAGCATCTCCCCCTATTCCTATAGACAAGCAGAGGGCTCCTTTACTCCACCCTTGCTGAAGGGGGGACTGTCACATTAGCACAAGCTCGACAGAGAAAAAAATGACTGCAGAAGGCAGATGACAGCAGCTATCTTGCCCATTGATACAGCTTTCTCTGGCCTAAAACCTCAGGGCTCTCTTTATAGCAGTCAATTATAGTGGATCCTGATGTGGGACTGCTCCCAGGATGCTGAGAGCATGTCCAATAGCAATTCCATGTAAGGGCTATGCTGCAGAAAAACAAATGAACCCACACTCACTTCAAGCCAAACTTCACCTTCTTGTTTTCCACCATCAGGTCACAGATGTAGCGCACAGACAGGTATCGAAGCAGCTTGATGTCGTGCCCTCTGACCTTGTCAAACAGCTGGGAGTCTGCATTCCTTCAGGACAGAACAAGGCAAAGCAAGATGAAGAGCCTGGAATTCAATGACTGATCGTGGTGAGTGGGATTCTTTGCACAACACTGCCACAAGTCCTTTCCTGAAGTGCTTCCAGCCATAAGCTGCACAGCAGGAGCCTTGTCCAACCCCTGAGGGGCTGAGCCAGCTTTGGTCCAAGCCATTGGAATGATCTCCCCAGGGAAGTGGTGGACTCCCTAGCTTTGTTAGGATTCATCTGGACAGGGTGCTGGACCATTTAGTCCAGGTCATACTTTGCCTAGAAAGGTTGGATCAGATGGTCCTTGATGTCCCTTCCAACCTGGTATTCTAGGATTCAAACTCCCTTTTCCCCATTCCAGTGATGCATACAAACCTAAGTGCGGAATCCTCCTCTGAGATGTCTTCTGCATCTGCCCAAGCGTCATCAGAACCTCCTGCAATGAAGCGTTAGGAACTGAAGCTTGTGTAAACCAACGTGATTCTCCATCTGACAAGACATGTATGCCCGAAAAGGCCATGGTTTGGCACCCTCCCTCCACACATATGTGCTCTCAGTAGTTCCCCACGTTCGCTCTTCCCAAAAAGCCCATTTTCTAATGTAGCCCAGTCTTCCCTTGTCACTGCAAAGGACCTAGGTAGGTCAACCCATTATTGACAGCCAGGACACCCCAATAGCGCTACACAGTGCTTTGTTAATCCCAGCTACCCACACTACAGCTACCCAATACTCCCTGAAGAGCCTTCCCTACAGTCCAGTATATGTCACCACCAGGAAGATTTGATTCCAAATGATTAATCAAGCATCAGCAAGTTCCTATCCTTTCTTCTATTATTCTCACTTCCCATGTTTTTTGGAATCAGCACCCTGATTCTCTGGGCTGCCTTACTTGCCTACAGGCTTCCCATAACTCACTCTTCAGCCTCAAGTCCATGCTAGAGCTCTGCATTAGGAAGATCTTACACTTGTGTGTAGGTCACTGTCCCAGCACTGACAAGCCTGACCAGGCAGTGACAAACAGCTCCTCACTCACCTGAGAAGATATAGTTGTAGCCAGTGCGCCCATAGAGCTCTCCCCAGCCAGCCAGTGTTGCTGATCTGCAAATATGCTGGAGGAAGATTTAGTTATTAATCACCCATGCTCCAGGAGTCTTTCCCTTCCAGGTCTCTGGCCTATTTGCTGTCATGTTACATAGAATTGGTTGGTACCTACAGCAATGACCTTCTCAGCAGCCTCCCCTGCAACGCTGGTCCAAATCAAACTCTCCAAATACATTAAACTCCCAAGTGCCTTTATCTGTAGCTGGTTTTTAAATCACATTTTCACTTCTAGTTCTCCAGTTCACTAATACAGCTAACTCCTGCCAAGTTAGCACGTTCTGTGTTCTGTTAATACCCTGCTTGAGTCTTATTTCCACATCCCTGTGGATAAGGTTATAGATGGTCCCAGCATGACTGCAGGCAGTAAAGGTCAGCAGGTCCAGCCCACAATGGCTTCAGTTAAGCCACATTAAAATGGTCACAGGTGTTTTGCTATTCATCCAGTGTTTCTAAATTGAACTAAAGAAAACTGAATGAAGCTATTTAAACTCTAAATGAGACTATTCCTACAGGGCTTCAATGCAGTTTAACTAATCCACATGAAAACAAATGTAATTTCACTTTCTTACAGCTCCCCTTGCAGACAAGCCCACACATTCATAAGAGCATTAATGCAATCTTGCCTCCCCAGGGAACACACAGGGAAACTTTTCTTTAGAGCGTAAAGTTATTCAAAGGAAGGTCACTGCTGGGAAGAGTCAGGGGTAGAAAGCAGCAATAGCTGTCCTTCCCCTCTCAAAGACCAAATACCTCTGGTCCTTCCCAAGGGACATGTGCATGGAGGAAATGTTAGCTCTATAGTGCAATGGTGGGGTAAAATAGCCTGACACCCCCCCCCCAATGACTTATACAGCCTAGACAGGCTACCTGCTACTACAGGCTGCCTGCTTGTACCTAAGGAAGGATTTTTACAGCCTTCAGAAAAGCAACAACCACCTGAAGATGTGGTTGCATAGGTCAAATGGGGAGAAAGGTCATTTTTGAAGCTAAGACAGGTGACCCATGAAGCTTTACCTTCCCCTTGTACAGGATGACTGGGCAGACGAATCGGCCTCTGCATCTTGCCATCTTACTCCGGTTGATGAGGTCCTGCAGCTTGCCAACCTGCACAGTGCTCTCAAACCTAGTGGACAGAGACTGGGTTCAGTACACAGAGCATCTCCTGTGATCCCCATCCCTTTCATAGACGAGCCACCTCTGAAGTTAGCAAGCAAGGAAGGCACTTCTGTTAAGTATTGTTTTGCTTGAGAAGAGATTCCTTTGTGTGTAATTCCCAACTATTTTGAAACTTTGACAGATTCCGACATCCAGATTTGGTTGTGGGGTTGTTTTTCTACATGTCTTTCTGTTTCCTTTGCAAACACAAATACAGAGGGAAAAAAGAACTTTAAGATGGTGCTACCAGAATAGCTCCATGGCACTGCTTCCAAGTCCAGAATACAGCATTCAGCAAAAAATCAAATGCTTGAGATATCAGCAATTGTAAGAGAAGCACCTCCCCAGGAGCCGAGACAAGACACCAGGTTTCACCTCTCAGCACACAACCCATGCGCCACTCTTCTCAAGAACCATCACCAGCAAAGCTAGAGGTAAACATAGTAAATAAACATGGTTGTAAGGAGACTGCTGTAGTAAGGGGAAAGGCTGCTCTGAAGAGCAGGTGTGAGGCTCTTGGAGGGAGAAGTGCTTAAATGCAGCTCAGGTGGGAGGGAACTACTGAAAAAGGCTCAGAAACCAGAGCACTCCAACAGCAGTGTGAAGGAGCAGCGTTCAGGCTGCCTGGCGCAACGTGGAGAATGAGGTGGAAGGAATAACGTGTACCTTAACTCTTCATTCTTTTGACTTTCAGGTGTTTGAGTGGGGAGGTACCTTCAGAAGTTTGTTTTCCAGAAGACACTGCTGGGCAACCTTATCTCTGTCTTAATTCCCTGCCCACCCTACCCCTAAAAATGAGACCCCAAACGTGAATTAATCTTTTTAAATGCAAGAGACATTTCCTATAAGAGCAAACAACTCTATTTTAGGCCTGAAGTTGCTTGTCTTTGGGTAGCCAGGGCAACATTTGGAGTGCAGTCACATCACAGTATGGTCAGGTCAAACCAAAGACATGGCCTGTGTCCGAGATCTGGACATTTTCATCAGGCACAGCCACAGTAAAGAACTGAGCACATCCCTCTGCCTCCATCACCTGAAGCATCTGCCTGCTCCTTCTGGGGGGACATTAGAAGCCTCTAAGCGCAGCAAAGGAGCTCCTGGGTGTCAGAATTCACTGTGCTACTTTCTCTGACTCCTTGTGAGCAGCATCTGACCAAGGAGCCAAAACCATGAATTAAATTCCTTCTGCTACCCCCTGCACCTACCTGACTTCAGAGTCCTGTTAGAAACTCTGAGGAGGAAGCACCCCTTCTTGCTCCAGCTGCCCAGCCACAGAGGAAACAGGATCAAGAAACCAATCTGGGCTTAAAATACTCAATCGTTGCTGCTTCCCTGCCTGGCTTCAGAATAAGCTGCAGCAGCAGAGCTGATGGGGCACTGCAGAGTTCACATAGCTAAGACCTGCTCCCAGAAACCCTGGGGAGAGGTGAGAAGCACCCCGCACACTTCAAGAAGATCTTACCAACTGGTTAAGGACATTACCAAGATGAAAAGCAGACAAAGACCTAGAAGGAGCATCCCCTTCATTTGTGTTCTGTAACACAGAGAAGCACAGTCTTTGTTTTATCATTAGGCCATAAAGTACAATGATGAAATGAAACCCAGATTAGTCTAAAAACTACCAGCAGCTTTTACAGAGATTATCACCCAGAAATCAGGGGGAGAGGGCTGATGGAGGTCATGGTTTCCATGACTCTCTGGGACAGCAAATGGAGATGTGGAAAGAATCAGTAACTCAAGTGTAACTGCCAGTGCTGATTGCAAAACCCTGGAAGAAAAGAGGCCACTGAGTGCAAGTGTATTTTGAACACTCATTAGGGGAGTGAAGCATCCTTTCCTCCTGCAAGAACAAGAAAAGCAGAAGCATTCTGTTCCTCTTCCCTAAAAACACTCCCGGTCACCGTTACAGCTTCAGAGTTGAGTTTCCCTTTTTTTGCAGCAAGGGGGTTAACCTTTTCCAACCTGATCCAACCAGTAAGCAGGAATCATCTCACCTGACAATCAGCTGGGGCTGTTTTCTAAAGACCCCCCCTCCCACAGCACACAGCCCACGTGCCAGCAGTGTGGTTAACAGTTTGCCTTCCTCACGCAAAGCAGCTGGACACAGGAACGGAACTCAGTGACCACCATCCTTTTGAACGTGTTACTCTTGTCATGGACGCGGTTCAGGCAGCAAAATCGCATTATGCTTTGTCAGAAGAGAAAACAAAAGCTGAGAGGCTATGGTTGGAGCCGCAGGGAGCAGCTAACAGCCAGAAGTCAGACCAACGTGATTGTAAGCTTGCAGGTCAAAGTCCAGAGAGAGGTTGGCTTAGACTTGTGCTGAACTGCAAGCCAGCACTGCCCGCTAGCTCCCTAACCTGCAGCATCCCCTGACACATGAAGCGCGGTGAGGGGAGAACTTCTGCCGAGGTTGTCTCATCTGTGCAGCCTCTAGCAGCACCCCTCACCTCAAAAAGCTTCCCAAACTAAACCTTCTCTAACCAGAGGCCTTCCAGCAAGACCACGGGCACTTCATCACGGCAAGGACAGCATCACACAGCCCCGCTCCCAGCCACGAGCAGCGCTCGGTAGGACCTAACACCGTGCTCGGCTCTGCTCAAGCGCCCCGGTCCCTTCGCACCCCCTCAAGTCACCGCTTTCACCCAAGAGCCCAGGGAGCGCAGCCCTGGCAGGCGGCGAAGGGCGCCCGGAAGCGGATGACACCGCTCGCTATAATTAGGCACAGCGAGCCCGACGGGGCTTCCACCCGGCAGGCGGGGAAGCAACCCGGGGCAAGACGCGAAGCCACCTCTGCGTGCTGCCAGCAGTGCGGGGAGGGGGTACCGGGGGTACCGGGAGCCTTACGGGTCGCGGCCGACGCCGGCATCGCGCTCGAGGAGGACGATGTGCCGCGGGTAGTGGGCGCAGACCTCGCCGTGCGCGTTGGAGATGACGCTGTAGCGGTAGTCGCGGCCGAAGAGCTCCAGGCACCGCCTTTCGATCCGATCCACCTGCACACAGACACCGGTCAGCGCCCGCCGCACCGGACCCCGGTCCCCGCTGTAACCCACGTCCCCCAGTGCCGGGGTCCCTCACCTTAGCGGCGGCGGCGCCCCCGCCGTCCTTGGCGCGGTACTGAGCCCGGGAGAACTCGAGCAGCAGCTCGGCCAGGGCGCGGTCCCCGCAGCCCGCCGGGGGGCAGCCGCGGGCCGCCGCCATCCCGCGCCGCTCACCGCCGCCGGCCCATGGCGCCGCCTCGCCCGCAGCCGCCGCTGCTTCCGCCCGCTCGCCCAGTCACCGGCAGCGCAGCTGCCACGCTTCTTCCGTCCGCCAGCGGCGTCATCCGGGTGCGACGGCCGCGCTCTCGGTGCGCTCCGCTCCGCGCTCACCGGTGCTACCGCCCTCCGCCGGGGTGAGAACGGGTCCCGCGAGGGCCCCGGCGGAGAGGTGCTCTGTGGAAGGCCTGGAGCCACGGGACGAGCGGCGCCCGGCCGGGGAGCGGGCTGTGCTCCCCGTGCTCCCCGGCACCGGGAGCTGGGGGACGCCGAGGCTTTGCGCAAACCGCGTTTAGGACCGCGGAGGGACGGGGCGAAGTTGGTCGGGCCCCGGGAGAGGAACCCGAACCGGCCGCTCGGGGTGGGAGCGCAGGCATGAAGCCGGTGGCAGCTGCCGGGTGAGCGGCAGCACCGGCAAAGCGGTGCGGGCGCTAGCTGGGACTCCTTGTACCAAGTTAACGGGCGTCGCTGTCCCGCACCGGGCGGGCGGCTCCGTTGCGGGAGAATACAACGAGTTTTTCACTCTGCATGTGTCTGCTTTGTAAATCTGCCGCGAACCTTGGCAGGACGGGGGAGAGAATGGAGCAGCTCATGAAAGCGGAGTTCAGCCACTGCGCACCGGCCACGGGCGGTCCGGTACCCGTGTGTTGGGCCGGCGGGGAGGGTTTGCGGGGCACCTACCAGCGTACATCACCAGGGGGCACATCACCACCGGGCCACACGAGAGGCCCCGGACCGGCTCCCGCTGCTCCCAGCGCCTCTACAAGCACGTTGGCACCGACCGAGTTGCACCGGCCCCACCAAGCGGCTCCAGGAGCCGCCCCCCCCCTCCACCGGGGGCTTCTCCTCCCGGAGCACGAGCGGTCACGCGTGTATACCGTGAAGGCACAGGGTGGCAGAGCAGCCGCCACCGGGCGGGGCTGCGCCGGGGGCCGGCCCTGATGGAGCGGGGGTAGCGGAGCCTCCGCTTCAGCCCCACTGATGCGACCCCCTCCGAGCCTTGCCGAGGCGGCCCGAATAGAGCCGAAAGTTACCGAGCGCGCTCCGAACCGTACCGGGGAGCGGCCCGAACCCCGCCGAGCCCTCGGCGGGCGGAGCCGAAGCGGTCCGCTTCCCCTCGGGGCGCGCGCGGCAGCCTCGCCTCTCGGCTCGTCTCCGCAGTGGGGGGGAAGGCGCGCACCCGCGGGGGCGCGCACGGGGCGCAGAGGCGGCAGCCAAGATGGCGGCGCGGGTGGCGCAGGGGCCGGCAGCCCGCGGGCGCGCCTAGGCCGCGGCCCCCCCTCCTTTATCCCCTTACCCCGGGGCGGGCTCCCCGCTGCCGAGCCCCCCCCCCCCCCCCCCGGTCCCCCGGCCCCACCACCGGCAGGATGCTGCCCTCGCAGGAAGCCTCCAAGCTGTACCATGACAACTACGTGCGGAACTCGCGCGCCATCGGCGTGCTGTGGGCCATCTTCACCATCTGCTTCGCCATCATCAACGTGGTGGTCTTCATCCAGCCTTACTGGGTGGGAGACAGCGTCAACACGCCCAAGCCCGGTTACTTCGGGCTGTTCCACTACTGTGTGGGCAGCGGGCTGGCGGGCCGGGAGCTGTCGTGCCGCGGCTCCTTCACCGACTTCAGCACCATCCCCTCGGGCGCCTTCCAGGCGGCGGCCTTCTTCGTGCTGCTGTCCATGGTGCTGACGCTGGGCTGCATCACCTGCTTCGCCCTCTTCTTCTTCTGCAACACCGCCACCGTCTACAAGATCTGCGCCTGGATGCAGCTGCTGGCAGGTACCCCCCGGCACCGGGCACCGGGCGAGGGGCGTGGGACAGCGGCGGAGGGTGCTGGCACCCCCCGGGAGCCGCATAAAGGGAACACCAAGGTTGCTCAAGGAAGCTGGGCAAGGGCCAAGCGATGCGGGGATGTGGTTCCAGGAAATAGCTCCCGGGCTTCCTGGGACACCCAGGTCAGGGACTAGCACTGAGTGAGCGTCGGGAATGGGTGCTCAGGGCACCGGCACTCGGGGCTCCCCAAGCACTGGTGTCAGGGCCTGTGGCTTAATGAAGCTGGGCTGGGTATGATTACTGTGGATCCATAGGGCATGCCAGCCAGGAAGTGGCCCAAGAACACCCCAGGGCTTCCTGAGACACCCAGGCCAGGCACTAGCACTGACTGAGCACCAGGAACTGACACCAGTTTAGGGCACTGGCACCCAGGGCTCCACAGGGAAGCCCAGTGGGAAAGCTGGATCCGGGATCCACCTCAGAACAGGCACCAGCCCTGGGGCGTGTGGACAGGCTGGAGGACCTAAGAACAGCCAGGCCAGGCGCTGCATTTGGAGCACGCTGTTACACCCATGCCAGGAACCAGCCTTGGGGTACCCTGCAATGACTGTCCCACGGAGTCAAGGACCAGCTGCAAGGATGCCTTTGGACACCCTGGACCTAGGACCAGCAGTCCCCTGGGGACCCAGACCCCCAGGGCACCCCACATCAGAGACTGGTCTCCCTGTCTGCCCAGCCCCAAGGGCATCCCTGAGCAAGTCCACCCCCAGGGAAACCCCCAGCTCCTGAAGTGACCCCATCACTGGCAGGAGCCCATGCATGGACCCCCCCAGCCCTTTAAAGCACCTGTGCAAAGACAGACCCTTCAGCTCCTGCTTAAAGAGATGCTGTGCTTGGTCACCCTCCCTCCAGCATCATGAATGGGCTGTGAGAACAGACCTTCCCGAGCCCCCTTCATAAAGAGACCCTAGGTACAGCACTTCCCACAGACACACCACGCCTTGATGTCCCTCAGAAGTGATAACAGGCTCAAGCCCAGTTATTCCCACCAAAAGTGGCCCTGTCTATAGATCCTCTTTAGCTCCCTCTACATAAACTCCACCATAGATGGGGTTTCATAGTTGGGGTACCCCAACACCCTCATAGACTCAGTCCTCAAAGCAACACCATATGACAACCCAAACTTTTCTCCAGAAGGGGACTTGGTGCATATATTGGTAAGGATCCCAAGCATCCTGCTATGCACAGACCTCCAGGCTGTCCTCACTGAGGGTCTCTTGGGAGAAATTCCCTGAGAAAAGACCCTTCACTTCCTTCTTTCTCCAGTTTTACCACCTGTGGAAAGACATTGTGTGTGTGTTACTCCCTAGCGCGCACAAAGTGTGAACAGAGGCAGAGCTTCCACCAGAAGGGCTCAGAGCCCCCCATATTCCTAATGAAAGGACCCCAGCCATTGCTGTTGGAGGACACAGCCCCCCATGCTGGAAACCTGTGCTGGGAAGCCTGCCCTCTCCTCACCCCTGTCAGGACCACAGCCAGACCTTGGGCTTATCAGGAAATTCCATCATCTTTAATTTTCCCTGCCCTGAAGATTTACCAGTTTAAGGCAAGCTCAGAGCCCAAATCCTACTGATTGCCAGCAGCTTAATCAAGTGGCTTGGAGCTGGTGCTGCTGAACAGGGAGCTCTATGGCAGAGGACACTGCACTGAAGGCAGCTTTGGGCTTCCTCCCCAGTGCCTGCTGTCCTGCCCCAGCTCAGCACCCTGCTGTGTCACCTGTGGGTGCCCCTTGCGCTGCCCTCAGCCTTGTCCCTGCACACACTTTGCACCTTGTGGCTCACTTGCATTGCTCACAACTGCGCTTGTGAGAACCCTGAGTATGTGGCTTGCAGGGGCTATGGGCTGGTTCTCCTGGCCCCAGCCAGCCCAGGCTTGGCTCGGAGCAGCACAGACACATGGCCTGCATGTGCTGGGGAAAGTAAAGGCAGCATTTGTAGAATCATGGAGTCAACCAGGTTGGAAAATACCTTGAAGATCAAGAAGTCCAACCATTCCCAGCACTGCCAAGGCCACCACTAACCCATGGCACTGAAGCCTCGTCTCCACGCTGTGTGAACACTTGCAGGGACGGTGACTGCAGCCCTGCCCTGGGCAGCCTGTTCCAATGCCTGAGCACCCTTTGGGGAAGGAATTGTTCCTCAGCTCCATCTAAACCTGCCCTGGGGCACCTTGAGGCCGTTTCCTCTTGTCCCATCCCTTGTTCCTTGGGAGCAGAGCCCAGCCCCTCCTGGCTCCATCCTCCTGCCAGGCAGTTGTAGGGAGCAATAAGGTCCCCCCCATGCCTTCTCCAGACTGAGCCCCGCAGGTCCCTCCATTCCCCATCACACTTGTGCTCCAGGCTCTACACCAGCTCCATTGCCCTTCTCTGGCCCTGCTCCATTAACAGAGACTGGCCATCCACCCTGCCCTGAGATGGTGAGGGTGCTTCTGTCCTTCAGGAGAGGCTGGTCACCATCAGGAAGGGCCAGGACACAGAGGCAGTGTTGTGTCTTGGCCAGAGGGAGCCTTGTCTTGGAGTGGGCGGGCAGGGCTGAACTTCCTGGGCCTTTCAGAGGCCCAGCTGGGTGTTACCTTGTGCATGGAGAAGGAGCTGCTGTGACCCATGGAGAGGTCACCATGGACTAAATGCCATGGATAAGGCAGGGGTGTTGCCCAGTGCACGGCCTGGCACAGTGTAATGTCCAGCTTTGGCTATTCACTTGCCTTGGGAGGCTGGAGGGATGTGCCAGTGCAGAGGGCTTGGAGAAGGGAACGGCATTCCTCCTGCCTCAGTGAGGTTTTAGCTGGAGGAGAACTTGGCACCACTACAGCAGAAGCAACAACGAGGCCTAAAGTTTCATGGTCTCACTGGTGAAAACCAGGTTAACGAGGTGCAAGGCAAAGAGCTGGGGCAGAGGTGGGTCCATCCTGTCCCTATGGGATGGCCAGTGCAGAATACAGGGCTGCTGAGTGGGAAGACTTCAGAGTAGGAAAACCAAGAGCAGGAAGGGGGCAGGAGGATGAGGATGGGGAATTCAGTATCTCTTTCAGAAAAGACAAGGTTTAAATCATCAATGTCTAATTAGTGGACCACAGTCAAGGAAGGGTTTAATTAGAGCTTCACAGAAAGCTCCAGCTCAAAAGCCACTGCCCCCCAGGAGGGAACTGGATCTAATTAAGAGGAAAGAGTGTGCTTTAGCGCAGATAGCGCAGCCATCTGCCCTCTGCAAATCCCAGGAACACCAAACTGGAGATTTCCCTAAATCCCTCTGTTATAAAACAGAAACGGGCCTTTAACATAAGCACGTCGACAGCTGCATGACTGACAGTGCCCTGGTGCCACCCCAGGCCTCTATACTCAGAGACGGGGATGATGCTTACTTGAAGAGAAATGGGCTGGGAAGGTGATCCCGCTTGTCTGCCCTCCGTGGAGGGCAGGGACAGGGGCTAGGCTGGTTCTGTGGGTGCCTGTGTTTGAAGGACCTCATAGGAGTCATCTCCTGGAGTCCAGAGCACAGGAATACACCATAACCAGCACCACGTCCTGAGGCTCGCCCTGAGTGGCTCTAGGGCTCTGTTTTCAGGAGGGCTTTGGGTTTGTACTTACAGTCTAGTGGGGGTCAGAAGAGGCAGCTGGCTGAGCACACGGTCCCTCGTAGCATGGAGAGAGCGACTGGCCACTTCTGAAAGTGTTTCCCTGCCTTTCAGGTCCATCAGTCAATGATGAGACCCTCAGGCCAGGCACAAGCACAACACAAGGGATGCCGTTCTGTGTCACTGGCCATAGAGCTGGGGTTTGTCTTTATCAGCAGCACTTTGGAGCTAATTGTGCCATCGGAGACCTTGCAGTGTGATAATACATCAGCATCTCAGCCCTCTCCTCCTGTGGGCCAACCCCTCTGGAGTTATACTCGCTTCTCAGCTGGGCCCTTCCCACCCAGCAGCGCGTGAAGCAGGAGCAGGGGCTGATCCTTGATCAATGGCTTTATCTTCTTCACCTGAGCTGCATTTGCCACCACCTGAGTGGGGCACCCTCACATTGTGCAGCTGCACAGCATCGTTTTGGCATGTCTGTGGAGAGGTTAGGACTTGTTTTCATGGATGTGAAAGTCCTAATGAAATATGAAATGGTGTGATATGAATATGAAATGATATGAAATTCTAATGAAAAAGTGGATGACGGATAACCACTGCTCCAAACAGCTAGGAGGTACCTGGGATAGCTGCTGGGGTTGAGGGTGAAGTAGCCTCAAGCCCTTTCTCTGCCCAAAGCAGAAATAAAGCCAATAAATGGTCTTTGAGCTTCCCTCTGCCCACCCTGCAGCAAAAAGGAGGCATCACTAAAAAAAACCACCCTTTGCATGTACTGAAATACCAGCTTCTGGCCCCAGAAAACCTTTCCTGAAGTTCCCCCTTCTGCTTCCCCTGTCGTGCAGCAGCAACGGGAGCGCAGCCCTCGTATCCATGCTTCAGGCACCGGGAGGCAGCATGACCCTCCCATAGTAGCTGTTAAGGTGCCTGTGGCGCCGCAGGGAAGGACTGAACCTCTGATGTCCTGGAGCTGACATCCCATAACTGTTATTCCAGATAAAGTAACTGTCAGTTCGGATTCATACCACCTCCTAACTCCATTCTGAATCCTGCTGAGGTTTTGGCTCGCAAACAGGCTGTGGAGCAGCGTGCCTTGAGGGAGCTGCTGTCTGTGTAAATGGCCGGGGTTGGCCATCCCAAGCATGCTGCCTTTGGGTTTCATTTAGTTGGGAGGGGGTTCTATTTTTAGGATGGGGGGAAAGGAGGGAGGAAAGCTCTGTTTGTTCCCTTTCCTTTCAGTGCTCAGCTCTCAGGAGGTTTCCTATGTGAAGCAGGTACTCCAGACCCCAAAGTCACATCCCATCCCCTGTTCCCCAGGGATTCAGGGCTGCTGTGCAGCACCCATGGGCACCAGGGCTTGGCAGTCATGGGGTAAAGGTGGGACTTGATCATCTTAGAGGTCTTTTCCAACCTGGTTGATTCCATGTTGGGGATCTCCAGTGGGGACCCCGCATGTGCTGATAGCACAGAAACGCAGCGAGTAGCTGTGGGCATGTGGCACACAGAGCTTCCCTTTGGCACAAGGTAAATATGAGGGGCTGGGGGTCACCCAACTACCCCTGGCAGAGAGATGTGACTGCAGTGAAGGTGGGAGTGATGTGCATGAGGGCAGGGGGCAGCCACTGAGCCTGAGGGAGGATGAGCCTGTGTGCCCAAGCCAGGCACTCAGCAAAGGTGGGTTACTCACAGTCCACATCAGCTACACACACCTGCCACCGAGGGATGCTGTCCTGCCAGGAGGAGCCTCCTCATCTCTCTGCTGAAATCCCCCTCCAGTGTTGCAGCCTAAGTCACGACACTGAATTCCCTTCAGTTGATTTCTTTTACAAGGATATCAAAAGCCCTTGAGGGGCCCAGTTCATTTGTAAGTGACAAGGGAGCACTGAGGAGCCTCAAGCCATGAACCACCTGCAAAACAAGCTAAGAATTACCAGTTTCCCTGGGGCTGAAGCCCCAGCCCCCAGCAGCATCCCTCCCCATACACCCTGCCCCTGTGAGCACCAGAATGCTCAGTCTCAGATCCATCTTTCCAACTGGGAAAACTCTGGAAGAGGGAGTTGGACCCCAGGGCCTGAGGGAGGGATGGCAGCCGTGGTGCATGACAAAGTGCTAGTCCTCAGTGCCACTGCCATAGGGACAGGCACTGCACCCTCAGAAGAATGGCGATTTAAAGCAAAATGGATGGGAGTTGGGTTATTTTGCTCCTCTTTAATAGCAGCAGAAGCCCCATCCTCATGTCCCTCGGACCCACTGTGAGGGGCTCGGTGAGAAGGGCAGCGCCAAGGCCTGTCCACCTCAGGGCTCATCTCCTTGTCCCTGCTCTGCTCTGTGTCCCTCCACGCTGCAGGCACAGGAAGGTGTTTCCAGGACACAGGCAGCCTGGGGACAGGCGGGAAAGGGAATTGCTTGTGACAGAACAGAGAACAGGGAGAGGCTCAGTGCTGGGAACCCATGGGACGGATGGGAAGAGGAGAGCAGGAGAGGACCTGGTTTGTGCGGCCAGGGAGCTGCTGAGCTTCCCTCGTGGGAAGAGGCCTCAGGTCACCCTCAGGCAGAGGAATCTGGGTACGTGCCCTTGGATGTGCTCCTTTGCCCTGGCAGTGAACAGGCAGGTTCATTCCCTCTGTCAGACAGGAGCTGGGGCACTGCCCCGTGCCCTGGTGCCAGTGCAGAGCAGGCACACAGGGCCAGGAGGGACCAGGGCGGGCAGGCACAGCCAGAGCCAGCCCCATCCATCCTGGGCTGCCTGTGCCCGTGGCTGTGCTGCGAGAACCCCCTGCACCGATGGCTCACGTGCTGTGTGTTTCTGAGCTGCTGCTTTCTCCTTAAACCCTGGCTCTGGTGTCCTCCATGCACTAATCCACTGCCTCCTGCATCACTGCCCTGCGAGCCGCGTGTGGGACCTGCTGATGTCCTCTCAGACCCTCACACATGTACCCGTGGTGGCTCTTGGTGACCTCCTGCTTTACCCATGCAGCCAAATCCATCTGGAGCCCTAATAGATGCTCAGAAACACAGAGCAAATGCTGATGCAGAGTCTAAAGAACGACCCAGGGGCTGTTGTTGGGCTGCTGGAGGGACCAGCCGAGGGCTGCGCCCAAAAGCACAGCGGGTTGGACTGGCACCTGATGATGAGTTTTATATTCTACTTACATTCATGTGCATTCCCCACCCTCTTCCACCCTGAAGCACAGCCCCGTTGTTCTCTGTGCTGACAGGGGCTGTTGCTGAGGGTGCTGCTGCCCAGCTTCACTCTCCTGTGGCCTCACCACCCACTTGTGGCTCTTTTCTCCCCCACACTGATTCCAGCAGGGCTCTTACAGGCAGTGCCCGTCTCCAGGCTGTCCCTCTGCCATCTAGCTCCAAGGTGCCCTGGTCAGCAGGAGGGACAGGCTGCTCCTCACCCTTTATCACACAGCACACATCCCTGGTGCTGGTTTCTTTCCAGAGGGAGTGGGTTTGGGTTGCTCCGGTCCCAGACGTGGCTGTGTGGAAGCTGCTCCTTGTACAGTGCCAGGGTGGCACCAGGGCTGTGCATGGAGGTGCATCAGGGTGTAGAGCTCACCTCTGTCTGCAGCAAAGCTTTTACCAGCAGGTTTGTAACATGGATGAAGGAGGCAGAACCAGGCAGCAGCAGGCGGGTGCTGTTACGTGCTGGAGCATGGATTCACCTCAGCAGTCCTGCCCTTCCCTTGGGAGAGCGGGCAGTGTGGCTCATTGGGACGCACTGGAGCTGCTCTAAGGTCTCCCCTTAAGGAGCCTTCTCTTCTCCAGGCTGAACCAGCCCAGCTCTCATCCTGGCTCCAGAGCAAAGCTGCTGCTCACTACTTTATTAACTACTACTTGCTGTAGTTATAAAAGCAAACATCGCCTCCTTACCTTGACAGTCACGGGCTTCATCTCAGCATTCCCTTCCCATTCATCCCGGTGCTCCCCGACGTCTCCCTGCTCAGCACGGGCTGTGAGGTGTGGATGCTCCTGGTGACAACGACCCTCTCAGCAGGCAGCACTCCTGCCTGCAGCATTCCTGCAGCTCCTGCCCGCCTGCAGGAAGCTCGTGGGGATGAGGACAGGCTCAGCACTTGGAATCCCCTTTGATGCTCCCCTTTCCTCTCCCGCTGCAGCGCTCTGCCTGGTGCTGGGCTGCATGATCTTCCCCGACGGCTGGGATGCAGAGACCATACGGGACATGTGCGGGGAGAAGACGGGGAAGTACTCCCTGGGCGACTGCTCCGTGCGCTGGGCTTACATCCTGGCCATCATCGGCATCCTCAACGCCCTCATCCTCTCCTTCCTGGCCTTCGTCCTCGGCAACCGGCAGAACGACCTGCTGCACGAGGAGCTCAAGACAGAGAGCAAAGGTGAGCGCAGCACTGACAGGGGTCCTGCCCCATGGCCATGGAGGGGGGATTCCGGGTGGGAATAGCCCACGGGGGGCTCAGCCCCTCCAGCAGCCTGGTCCCATGGGCAAAGCGAGGGATTGGGCAGGGTGGGAGGGAGCTGTTGCTCCGTGCCTGACACCTTCTCTTCTGCTTCCACAGATTTTGTTGGCACTGCGGTAAGTCCTGAGTGTCCTTGTCCCGTCCCTGAACCCTGCCTGTGCTGGGTGGTCTCATCCGGGTGGGATGGGATGGGATGGGGGGACCCCTTGGCTGCGCAGGGCAATGGGGACATGGCCCACGCTGGTGGCACAACGCGGTGGGTCCTGCCCGACACCGGCTCTGCTCTCCCCGCAGAGGATATAGGGCCGAGCGCCCGCAGCAGGACCCTCCTCCCTCGGCCGGCAGCCGGGGCCTGGGCTCCCTCCTCATCCCGCCCTTCATCTGCTGCCAGCGGCCGCACCGCGTCCCGGGGACGTGCCTCCATGTCCACGCCGGCACCTCCATCCCATGCACCCCCAGCGGGGGAGGACGCCCCGACCCCGCTCCCTCCGAGAGCAGCGTCCGACCGCGGCTTCGTTTCGAGGAGAAAACAGAGTTTTTAACAGATTTCTACATCCCCGACCCGCTGCCTCCAGCCCTGCGCGCCCCCCGCGCCCCCCAGCTCCGGGCCCCTTCCTGCTCCCGTTTTGTACAGCTCCGCGATCCTGCCTCCACAGCCAGGGGACCCTGTGGCCGGGATGAGGCTCAGCCCCTACTTTTACGTGTAGATTCATATTCTTTAAACAGGGTAAAGTGACTCGAGCCCCCCCCGCCCCTCGCCCCGGGACGCGGTGTTCCCGGTGCGTGGCCACGCCACGGGCTGTGTCCCCCCCACCCCGCCCCGGCACGGGCACCGCAGGGGCTTCGCTGCCGCCGCTGCTGAATGTAACCCTGGTAAGTGGGAGCAGCCGAACATGCCAACACCCCCCGGGTGGGTGCAGGATCCCCACATCCCACCAAGCCCCTTCCCCGAGCTGGCCGCGGGCTGTTGCCGAACGCCTTCCCCCTCCATCCCCATACGGTGCTTTTATCTCCACTGGTGACCGGGCGCCCCGGTGTTCCCACCCCTGGCTGCACCCCGCAGGGAGCCGGCAGCCTCCAGCACGACCCAGCCTCCATCGCACACACGCAGCACCCAAGAGCCGGCACCGACACCGGTGCCCACACCGGCACTTGGGACCGTCGTGGTCCTGGCCGCAGGGGGCTCTGGTCGCTGCAGCCCCTGCAATGCAATAAAGTCCTCAGCACCGGCTGCGTCTCAGTGCGAGCGGCCCGGGGCTGTTTGCAGGGCTCCCCGGGGATCGGGGTAGGGGGGGGACCCCTGGCAGGGCTGGACCCAGGCGCTGGGAGCGGAGCAGGAGCGCGGCCACAGGCAGCGGAGCCGCTGGGGATGGCCAGGAAGGGCGCTGCAGGAGCCACGGCCCAGGGCTGGTGGAGCAGGTAAGTCGTGCCCAAGGGACGGAGCCGTGCCCAGGAACACCGCCTGGGAGCCAAAGTCACCCGGGACGGCGCCGGTGCTGCTGCCAACGGGCTCTGCCAGCCGCGTCCCTCCTCCGGCACCCGGGCATCCCGCTGGAGCGGGGCTGGCGGGAGCCTCCCGGTGCCGGCAGCGCCCGGGATTTGCCAAGTGGAGAGTGCTGCTGCCGGCTGCATCGGAAACCAAACCAAGGAAGAAAACCCACACGGATCAGTGGAGAAAGGAATACAGTAGCTGTAATATATCTGTATTTTAGTACAAAGTTTGATACGGTGTTTCACAAAACCTTATTGAGAAATATAATTCAAACCAGACGAACTCGGAGGCCTGTGGTGTGAGGAGGAGCGGGAGGTGATGGCTTGAGGGGAGGGTGAAGGACTGGGCCGTGGCACAGCCACATGGGCTGGGAAAGCAGTTGGGGGGGGTGCCAGAGCTGCGGCGGGGATGGGAGGAGAAGGGGAAGATGAGGATGGGGCTGAGCCTTCATCCACACAGGCTGGCACACAAGGGGAGGGAAAGGGTCTGTCCCACCCCGTGGGAAGGCGAGAGGTGGGGTGGGGGGGGGTCCCCTCTGTCACTGGGAGTGCTTCAGCCCTCCCCATGGAGCACTATGGCTGCTGGCTCACACCTTGCAGTGAGGGTGGTTGAGGCCCTGGTAGGTCCCGCTCCAGGCTCTGCACGTCTCAGGCTTTCTAAAAGGGCAAGAAGCAGGAAAACTGACACCCCCCCCCCCCAGCCACTGCCCTTGTCCTGTCCCTACAGGCCCTTGTCCAAAGCCCCTCTCCAGGTTTCCTGCAGCCCCTTTAGGCACTGGAGCTGCTCTAAGGCCTCCCCTTAAGGAGCCTTCTCCTCCAGGCTGAACCAGCCCAGCTCTCTTGCCCAGGTAGGAAGCTCAGGGAATTTCCTTCTCCTCCTGCAGCAAACCCTGGCTTTCCCTGGCAAAAGGAAGAGCTGCTCCTATGAGGCTCCATTTACCCTGCAGGGACAGGGGAAAGACACCAACACCACCCCCCCCCAGCTCCCCACCATGGAAAGAAACTCTCAAAAATACCATTGTTTTTTTCAAGTTAAGTATTTTTATTATCAAAATTATTACATCTCTTGTGAAAGTTCAAATGTTACAGCACGGTGTAAAAACTCCACGAGAGGAAGAAGCCTCAGCCCCCACCCTTCCAAGAGCTTTCCGGGGTCCCTCCCTCCTGCCCCACTGCTGCGCCCAAAGGTGCCGGAGCCTTAGGGATGAGCCCCCCCCCATGGCCCCTGGCAGGGCAGAGCCTGCCTGCCCTGTGCCCTGCCCAGCACCGGGGGGGGGGAGCTGCACCCCCAGGGCTAAGCCGAGTGAAGTTTACACCTATATTATACAGTATAGAGCCACCCGACGGCACGGTGACAAGTCCCATCCCGACACGCTCACAGCCAGACAGGGTGAGAAAGTTACTCTGTTTGTTTTCAATAGTTTAAAAGTCTCCCCCTACACCTGATTTTGGGTTGTGAATGCAGAGAAACCTGTAACAGTCCTAAAAAACCAAACAGAAAACAACCGAAAAAACAAAACCCGGAAAGGAAGAAGACTGCGTCTGAAAGGACAGGGGAGACGGACTCACAGCATTATGTTATCCAAGAGAAAGGAGAAGTTCCACTGCAGCACCAGGGATGACACCTGTCATATATTAGCTAACCTACGATGGTTATAACTGAATATAAAATTAGATAAATAAAAACACGCCTGATATTACAGTAAACAAGTGAGAAAGAAGCTGGCAATCGTATGGAATCGAACAGACAGCGCACTGTGTCCGGGTTGGGAATGACATCCCCCAGCACCGCAGCATCACTTGGCTCGCCAAGCATCCCCCATCCCCGGTCACCCCGCAGCACCGCTCCTGCTCACGGAGCGGCGATCCCAGTGCATCCCGGATGCTCTGCAGCGATAGGCACACGCACTCCAACCCCTTCCCTGTCCTCCCCCCCACCCCCCCCCACCCCTCCCCGTGCTAAGTTCACATTTGCGGAGGCTCTGTTGTCCTGGAAAAGCTCCGGCCGGGAGCGTGCGCTCGTCTGCTCGTGACTGGAATGATCGTAACGGATTTGAAGCCCTCCCCAGCCCGCACCGAGAACCTGACCTATGGAGAGAGCTTTGGGATTTGGAGATCCACTTCCCCCATGGTTTGCCTTGAAAACCGCTTTCGTGTTCAACAAGCCGTCCGTGCTGCATGAGTGACTGTGGCCATGGGCACGGACGAGAGGCAGAGGCTGCACCACAGTCATTGCACTTCAACCACTTGCCTATTTCTTTGCAATGCACCCACGTGCCAGGGAACAGCTTTGCTACAGTCTCTGCCTCAAGAGGAATCCGCCTTCTCCTACAAGGCCAGAGGCCAACTCTGCTCACAAATCTCACCCGTGCGTGTCAGACCTCAGCCTCTGACCCCTGGCACCCCAGCATCGGGTGCAAGCTTCCCCATACTGGCCCAGGAGCCACTTCCAGAGGTGACTGGAAGGAGCTATGGGCAGTTTTGTCCTCCTGGAGTCCAGGCAGCCCTAGGAAAGTCCTGTTTGAGTCTTTACTCCAGAACCCTGGAGCTGCTGAAGTCTGTACTGATGGACACTGCTCCCCCCGCGGTGCTGATAGTGTTGTGCACTGGAAATCACTGCCCCCCGGGAGCTCTGGTAGAGCACAGACTGCCCCGAGCTCGGCAGGCTCATAGTCCTCAAGTCTGACTGTAGTGACCTGGCACTTGGGGGGGCAGCGGAGGAGCCCGATGTGCCTGTGCAGGACTGGGAGCCCGACTCGGAGGACAAAGAAGAGTCCACAGCCGTCTGCTGTGCTGGGCTGGCAGCAGCAGGGCAGCTCTTCTTTAGGAGGCTGCTGCTGATGCTGCCAGAGTGCTGCTGGCTGCTGTAATACCCCGAATTCCCTGCAAACAGGGCAGAGGAGTCTGTGGAGACCGAGTGGGCAGGGCTGGAGTAGGAGGTGGTGGAGGAGGAGGAGGAGAGGGATGCTTCTGAGGAACCGTGAGAGAGGCTGTGTCCTGTCCTCTGTGCTGCTGCTCGGTAGCTGTACCCAGGAGACGGAGTAAGGTGTCCTCTGTAGGGGGAGGAGCTCTGCTGGAGAAGGGTCTGGGACTCTGCCTGGGGACTGTCAGACTGCAGGAGCTGAGTAAGTCAGTGGAGAGAAGAAGAAAAGGCACGTCAGGCTGACTTCCTTCCCATGCCAAGGTTGCTCAGTGGAGCCGAACTGGGAATAACTGGCAGCCAAACCCAGATCCCCCCAAATCCTGTTAAAAGCTTTATTTCAGACTGGGCAGGTAATATAGGAAAGAATTTACCTGGTAGCTGTATCGAGAAGGACTGTAAACTGCTGGTCCTTTGTGGGCTTCTGGAGTGTCTCCTCCTGCTGTGTCTGCAATGTACATGCAAGACATTAAACCTCACCCTCTGAACTCAGATCACAGCCATTCCCTCTCAGCCAACACTGCACACACCCCATCACCTACAGCTGAAACAAGAGCAGCTTCTTCAGCCACCAGCTTTACAGGAGCTGAAGAACCCCAGCAAAAGGCAGCTGGAAAACGCTACCATGTGTAAACCAGCCACAGTGGGAACTGCTGATTGCCTTCTTCCAGGCATGAAGCTCATCTGCCTCAGAGCAGCCTATCTGTACCTGGTGACACCACACAGACCCAGCCAGGGCTCCCCCAGATGCTCACAAGGATACAAGAGGCAGAAGGCAGTTTCTAAGGACTCATTCTCCACTCGCAGGAATCTCACAGGAGATAGAACTGTCCCTTCCTAAACGGTTGTCAGAAGCATCCTCACAGGTTTTCCTCAAAGGCAGATCCAGACGCTGCCAAAGACGGGTCTGATGCTGCCAAGACTGCCAGCACCCCTTCTGTTCGTTTGGGGATTATGCTTTAGAAGTCAACCGAGCTGCTCCAGTTACTCCCAGACCTCAGAAATGCCTATTTTTAAAACAGGCCAAGATGAGGAAAATGCTTTGAGGTTTGAAGGGCACCAGCAGCACAGTACACACCAATCCCCCTTAGTTAAGTGAGAGAGCAAGAGGAGCAACGCTGCTTCTTGACGGAGCCTTTCTAGCACTTGTATCTTAGAGGGTGGGCAAGCTTCTTGTCCTGTCAGATAACTGAACCTGAACTGGGGCAGGCAAGAAGCACTCGCTGCAAATGACACAGGCACTTTGCCCATGTGTTGTTCAGTTGTTACTACTGTTGTAACCA